TGTAAAGCGGCGACCGATCGATTTGCGCCGGTCTGATGTTGGGATTTACTATCGAATAGTCAAATATGCAGCAAATTGAGCGGCATTTATCTGGCCAGTTAGATTTTATCGTAGCTAATAATTGTAGGTAAACCTCAGGTAAACCTTTATTATAGAAATAAACAAGTATAATCATCAATGTGCTCTGAATTTCCGCTCATAAACCATGTTTTTAAGAAAATAAAATATATATTTCCATCGATGACATCTTGTACGTAGACGTTTGAAACTTAACAACTTAAGCAATAATAAGACGTGTTTATTTATACCTTTCAGCTGTCCGCCCCGATGATGATAGATTTCTTTTTAAGTCCTTAATAAGACTTTTATCCTATTTACCTACTATGTGTATTTTTGCTCTAATTTCTATTAAATTTAATTTTATGTACTAGGTTTCCTTAAATTTATATTTTTTTTAATATATAATAATACAAATATGAAATATCAAAATATAGTAAAGACAAACAGTTATTTTTCATGCATTGCTTACGTCAATGTTTGGCAGAATTTCAATAGTAATAATGTTCAACAAGTGGATTGTAAATACGAGTACGTATATGAATATTTTGTACTGAGATTTTTTAATAACTATTGGTATTTGAAACATTTAATTTCAATGTTTGTGGAATATCTGTTAACGCAAATGATAGACTCAGTCTTCACTGTTAGCATGATTACATATAACCATCTGACATTTTCAGAACCATAATTCCTAATGAGGGAATTGTTTTACTTATAAAAATATTTCTAAGGTTATCCCTCTCAGAATATTATAAAAAACTACATCGCTTATCTTAATGCTCGTGACTTATGAGGGTGTAAAAGTGCGTATATTTTTTAGAGGGGTTACTGTAAGACTAAATCATTTGTCTTTTCAATTTTCAAACACTTGAGTTTTACGTTTTCGACAAATTTGAAATTTAAATTGATTATATATATTACTGGACTAATCTATACAAATAATAAAATTGAAACTAATTTTATTGAAATAGAAATTATTATCGATACAGAGGCTTTTTAGAATTTTTATCTGCCTGCCTGTGTACCTGTGACCACATCACGGAAAAAGCACTGGTGGGATTTTGATGAAATTTGGTACATTGAAAGCTGATTGCTTGGGTCAACTTATAGAATACTTTTTACTGCGGAAAAATATCTCATTTCTGAGAAAAAATACAAAAACTGCATTGTAAGGATATACTAATATGTGAAACCTAAGAGTTTGGTTTTTGGTCATCTGAACGCGGGCGGAGCCGCGGGCAATGCTAGTTATATAATATTGAAGCTACCTGTAGATAAAACGCTTAGGTTATTCTTAAACACATATGTACCTTAATTAACGACTTCTCAGAATTCCGGTTATATTACCATTACAGTTTAGAGACCTTAAGGAACTAATCAATGATGTGTGACATTTCATTGATTAAATATTATAACTATTGAATAGACATATATAATTTTTGTCAGCCTATTCACCATACAAAAAGAAATTGTGTCTTTTCCGTAGGTAAACTAGCATTATCTCTATTTTATGCGGAAATATATAATTGTACTATGTACGTACATACATGTACATGTACATGTATATATATATACATAATGAAATTGGAACTAGGTCGAGTTTGTGCATTAGTTGCTTCTCTAAAATTATGGAATATAAATTATTAATTGCGCTTCCAAATCGAGACGCTTTATAATATGCGATTTCAAATGATAGTCGTAGTATTCCAAATTAAGTCAAGTAAGTCAAGTAAATCCAAAAATATCGCACAAAATCTTCGTCTTATGAAAAAAAAAATTCAAGGTGAGTATATTTGTTGAAGATTGAAAAGTAATGGACGAATGGATAGAAGCAAATTCAACTTCAACGATGAAGTACTTTTGCCACGCCGAGCAGTAACAATTTCCTATCAATTCATTTCACATCTTAGATTGTACTTCTCATAAAAGAGCTGTGAAAAATTGATTTCATATAAATTTATTCAAATTCATAGCTTTATTAGGCGTAATTTAAAGGATCGGTTAGGATCCTATATGTTGACCCGGATAACCAGCTATCATCATACAAAATTTCATCAAAATCTGTCCAGTGGTTTTCTCGTGATGCGGTAACAGACAGACAGACAAAAATTCTAAAAACTATAGATTCGGACTCTGTATCGATAATAATGTCTATTTCAATTAGATTTTCCAAAAAATATTTAATGTACAGATTCGACTTAATTACAATTTTATTATATGTATAGATATCAAAATAATGGTCTATTCTATAATAAATAATATAAAGGAAAGTAGATAATGAGATTTTACGAGGATTTCATAGAATACGTTCATAATTAATTTAGTCAGCTTCGGTGGTGTAGATGCTAGAATGCACGGCTGCACATCTGGAGGTCCCGGTGGTCGGTGGGTTCGAGTCCCGGGTCAAGTCAAGTTTAGTTATTGAGTGTTTCTATTCAATAAGCCTCAGTAACAACCTGGAGTAAGGAAGTTGGTGGTGTTTAACCCCCGTTCCTCGGAGAGCACATAAAGCCGTCGGTACTGCGCCTCAAATCTTACTGATCGTGTCGAGCAATCGTCCCACCGGAGTACGAGAGTGACAAGATTAGAGAGTGCACTTGTGTCTTGTGTACACTTATGCACTATAATATCTCCTGCGAAATCGGTCGTGAGGACATTATTTTTATTGATTGATTCAGAGAACCACCATTAAACCAAAAGATTACCCCACATATTGTATCAAATCCGACAAGTACGTTTAATGATAAGGGACTTCATACAATGAAACAAACTCTTTGGCTTTATAATATTATTAATTTAGAAACACTAATAGATTAGACACTAATTAAATAAATAAAATTGTAAAAATAAGAAAACCTGACTGCGGAAACAGCGAACTTAAAAGAAAGGAACAAGGTGACGAAAGAAAGTACTTTGGTAGTCGGAGTAAGCATGTTTTATACTTTTACAAATCAAACTACGTTTGGAAGAAAAATAAGGTTTTCAAGACACACAAATCGTTGCCTGAAATCCGCCATTGTTATTTGTGATAATATCCATATAGCCTATACAGGCATATTATAACACTCGCATTATCAAAACGAATCTAACGAGGTACGAATCATTAAAATCGGTTAAACCGTTTAGTGATTACAAGGGAACATAGGACCGGACCAGATCTTAGAATTGACCACTTTATGATATGGCTCTACAGGAAATGGTTGTATTTCATGCAATGGAAAATGGTCTGGCCGGATCAACGAATATAATCATATACCTATTCATATTATTACAATGCAATTGCATATCTAATATATTTGGGTTTGTATCCCGGTCGGATACAAAGTTTTTACTTTTGTTTTTATTTTTGTATTATTCAAATTTTTAGTTAATTTTTTTTTAATGTTTTCTTGGCCAAAAACTCGAGCGAAGCTCGGTCACCCAGGTACTTTTGCATTAATTACGTAAGTTAAATAATAAATTAAGTAAGAAATAATTTTATACCATTAATTATTTACGTTCTATACCCATATAGTATACAACAAATAACAAAATAAACATATGTATATAATTAATAGTGTAAAATATATATAATTATAAAACAAAACTTAGGTAAAAAATCACTGTCTTTATTACCGCCTCTAAACAAAGCACCTGTCTTTTATCCTACGTCAATCTTAGATATTCACAGATTACGCCTTTCATGTCTCTATATAAATAAGTAAAGACAAAAGAGTTCAGTACCTTTTTTTTCATTTAGTAGATATTGATGAGCTTTAGTGTTTTCCATAAAAAAAATTGGTATGTCAGTTAGTTTTTTTTATATAGATGAGTAAATTCTATTTCAGACAGACAGACAGACATCAGCATTTAGTGAAAATAATTATCGCGAAACAGACTTTTTAAAGATATTTCAAATATTACAATTAATTAGTCAATAAACTTAATTAGACGCTAATATGTTTAACTTTCTACAAGATCTAATAATGCTAGCAAACTAGAGCTATATATGAGGTATTATAGAATTTTCTACGCTGTAATTCCTTGACGTGTCAGGAATTTGTACGTAAATACCTAATGGTTCATTATGTACTGGAAACTTTAATAAATAATCATATATTAGAAAATACGTAAATGGTGCAAATAAAGATATTATTATATGCTAGCACTACCCGCGGCTTCGCCCACGTCCAAGCTTCCGATTGCTAACAAAATTCACAGGATCATCCGCTGGGCTATGTTGAAAATTGACTGAAAATTTCATCAAAACCGCTCCAGCTGTTTTGGAGTCCATAGGAAACATACATACACACATCGATTTTTATTTTATTTAATCAACAATTTCAATTTATTTATTGCTCGGAAAATGGAGTATTTTTTGAAAATTTAATGACACACCGACTACAGCGCTACAGATAAATAAAACTTAAGAGTCTGTAATTTCAAAATAACAGCATTTTACTAAATGCATTTGAAATTACATATATAATACGGTACTTATAGGAGACAATTTTAAAAAATTTGTCTGTATATTTATCCTCAAACGGCTAGACTGATCTTGATGGGACTTTCACTGGCAGATAGCTGATATTATAAGAAGTAACTTAAGCTACTTTTATTTTAGAAAAAATAAAAGATTCTGCTTACAAATATTAAAATATACCTAGGGACGCACCCGAGCAAACCGAAGGTAATTTACTAGTTTTTAATAAAATTCATATATTACATGTGCATAAAGTATAACCAAAGGTATAATATTAATAGTTTATTAAAAAAATAAACAAATAAGTTAATTTGATGATTAGTTGATAATGCAAATAATTCCATTAAAATATTATCTATACAAGTAACCATGTTTTCACAATATTTTAAGATATTTTATATAGGATTGTACAAAAAAGTACGGTGATATAACAGTATACTTCACAGTATTGTACAGTTCTCCAAAATGACATATTTTACATTTTGCCCCACGCTGGGCACCATGTTGCGAGGAACGAATACACTGCTGGTCTCTCGGGAAGACAGTAGCCCAAGCTTTCGAGCAATGAAGGAGTATTTGTAACTGACGTATGGAAGTCCTGGAAGTTGATAACACCATCCAAATCCACGTCCATTCGCTTGAGCATTATATCGACGAGCTCCTAGAAATTGATTTAAGATTAATCCTTTCACTTTGACGTATCCCCTCGAAATGTTTCAGTTTTTCTGTCCATTAACTTTGACCGTACATCGAAAAACGCTCTATGCTCTAAAATAAAATTTAAAATAACGTCACTGTTGTAAACTGCCATAAATGAATTAGGCGTTAGCATGTAAATCTCAAATTGTGAAAAGTAAGCTTGATTTTTTGTTTTTTGTATTAAAATTGATCATAAAAACAATATTTAAATATAAAATGTTAATTAGATGGTCACAATCACATAATCTTATAATAAATAAAATTAATACTTTATGTAAGTCAGATTAGAGAAAACTAAGTACTTAAGAAACGTATTAAATAGTATATCTCTATCTTGGGTTGATGTAGCATATACATATAATATCATGTCCACAAATGCAATGATGTGTAGTAGGAAGAAAGAGAATTTTGACAAATACTTTTAAGCGTAATTTGTTCCGAAGACTCAATATAAAACTAATAATCACACCAATACTTTCTTAGATTTACGCGATAATTAAATTTAATTAAAAAAAAAATATCTTTTCAGATTTTTCGCGTATTTATTTTGATTTTTGATTTCCAACGTTTCAAATGCTTTACAGCAATCATTGTCACATGAGAGAGAGAGCTTACATCCAGTTTAAATTGGCTTAACACGTAGGCTATTTTTGCCGTTATATGTACCTACTTACCTAGGTCTTCAAAAATAAAGCTGCGAGCAAATTACATAAGTAACGTACCAACAATTAGTGCGTAAATATTAGATATTAGCGGATAAATACTTTAACTTTCTTTTACGTAGGAATATATTGCTCTCTCATTTAAGAGGGAGGTATGGAAAGCCATATAGTAATTATTTTGATAAGTAGCGACTCACCCTCGCTTCGTTCAGTGTTTGTCTCTGGGGACGATACGTACGCTTTAATGGTTAGAATAGCCTTCCTCAAGAAATGAATTATCTAATGCAAAAAGAGTTTTTCATATCGGATCAGTAGTTCCTGAGATTAGTGTAGATAATTGATTTGTAAGAGAGCTTCGGACTCTCGCTAGGGATACATAACAATATTACTCTTATGTAATATAAAGATTTTTAGAATATTTCAGAATATTTCAGACAAAACTTAAGTCTTCTAACTGAAATTTAGATATGAGAATTTATTTGACTGAATTATAAAAGCTTCAAATCATTCCCATATAGTGAGTATATTAAATATGTTGCCAAGCATTTAGCTGACAGAATTATTATTAGTATGCTCTGTATCACAAAATTATTTATCTATAGCGTTCGTGGCTCTCGCGTTATTCAATGAACTATGAAACGGAAAATTTATAGAATAATGCAATAAATCATTCACCGTATAATGTAGCGTGGAATATAAAGAATTTCCGGAACTTGCTTGCAATTTACAAGCAAAATGTGACTAGCTTAAAATTTCATATTTTAAACTTGTAAATAACTAAAGAAGATGGAGGAAAAGCATTTTTTAAATTCTTTCTTTTAATGGAAAAGATAAGTATGAGTTTTCTTACTTTAACAGGTAAAAAATATTTTTATCAAAATGTCATTTATTAAAATGTCGTCCTTTAAACGATTTAAAAATTATTATTATGCTAACATCAAAAGCACTTTTAATGTAAACTTATTATTATTAAAAAAAATTAAATGAAACTTAAGTTAGGAAATCAATTTTAAATAAATCTAATCTAAAAAATGAATCAAAAAACTTCATCTAAAAACATATCAACAAAATACTACAATTGCAATAAATGCTTATACCCAGTCTTCACTGGCATGTAAATATTAATATCAAAATACCAATACCATCTTCATGTACAATGTTGCCAAGATAAGACTATATGGCTCGCACTGTAAAAATAGTCCGGTCAAAATAGACTAAAAATAAAGTACCAAAAGCCCCCATAGGTCCCATGTGTGCTAAAAAAATTATTTAAGGCAAAAAGTCAACATTTTCAGATTTTTTCATTTTTTAAAGGATAAACGTTATATTGTCCAGACAATAATTTAAGATTATAAAATTATCTACAAAAACGGTCCTAATACCTTTTATACCAAAATTCAGCTCTGTCGGACTTTTTGTTTTTTAATTACTATTTTTATGTCTAACTAGGGGTTCACCCTCGCTTCGCTCGGGTTCGCCTCTAGAAAAACACTGATAGATAGTTTTATTTAAAAATGTCAAACATTCGCGTAAATCTAAGAAAGTATTAACTGATAGAGATCTATTAGTTCCCACGGGAACCGTTCATTTTTCTGGGATGAAAGGTAACCTCTTGTTTGACCGGCAATATGAGGTATCAGCATGCCAAATTTTACTAAATTAGGTGCATAAGTTGTTGTGTACTAAGCTGTATAAGTTACTATAGTTTTTTAACTATCCCACGGGAACTCTTTAATTTTCCGGAATGAAAAGTATCTTACATATTGACCGGGGATATAATGTACGACTACGCAACATTTCATCTAAATCGGTCCAATAGTTTCGGAGATTACCCCGTACAAACACACAAACAGACAGAGAAACAAAAACATTGAAAAAACTCTGGATTTGTTTTATTTTTCTTCTTACGGGATGTAAGAAGATAACAGACTCTGTTTTTAGCAATTTTTTTGCTATGTACAGACATTCGACCTCTACTGTTTTATTATAGTATAGATTTGACCTTACTAAAAAGTTATCAGATCTCACCTAGAGCCAAGTTTCTACACGCCCTTTTTTACGTTGGGAAATGCATTTAGGCACGAGTTGTGGGACTCACCGGCAAAGCCAGTGCTATACCCACTAAAACGAAACGGAACTCGCCCGTCTTAATGGAGCGTCGCAGGATCGGTTACGCACTCAACCATGACAGCTTGACGGCAGGTCTGCTTAAGTAGACCACAGCAATCATAGGGTTATTCCACAGTCCACTCTGTTATCAGAGAAGTATCACGAGCAACTCGCATAGCACACCCACCGAGGTGGGCCGCCTTCCAGTGCGTTTCTTAGACACAAGCCTAACTTCACAGACTTTACACCTTAGTCAAAATATAAGGCTTGACTGTATCGTGGGCGTAAGGTGTAAAATTTATTCACTGTTCATTACTTTTCTTTTATACAATAGTTATTGTAATAACAAGCCAAGCCACATACTTTGACTAAGGTGTAGAGTTTGTAAAGTTCTCTACATGAGACCTGATAACTTTTATACAGTGCGAACCATATATATGGTCTCTTCTAGGCAACATTTTATATGAAAATGTTTTTGGTGAGATTAAATATTTTCAAATAGATGAAAATTTGAAGTAATATTCAGATATCACGTGTATACGAGTATTACTTGCAGTTACATACATGATTTTAAAATAGTTTATTAAATTCACAGCGTCGTCGCTCACGTAAAATTCATTATAAAGGGCGAAATGCACTTGTCGTATTATAATATCCTTGTGGAATTTCAATAAATGTTGGAAACTTTATTAATATATGTAATTCTATTTTAGGTGGTAAATGCAGATATAAGAGGAATGATATAAAGTTAACAATTTAGTTTAAATATCACTGCAAATATTACAATATTATACAATATTCTCTGTATCACGATGATAACAATTGTAAAATTTTGCACTTTTGACTACTAACTTTACCATTTTTCAAGCAAATACACGTGCATGTCTTCGTATCATAACGTAAATGGATACTTTTATTTTGTTTACTACATAATAAATAAAAATGTCATTTTCAATTTCCTTTTACCTTATTTTTGTTCTAATACTATTGATGTTCGTATCATCGAGCTCTATAAAAAGGGGAAGCCTGTTATAGTCAGTCTTTGAATGTCTGTCAACTGCATAATTACGTTCATGGGGTGAATAGAGTTTGACCTGCAAGCATACCACGCTGACATAAAGGATTTTTCGCTATTTCTAAATTCAATTCAAAAAATCGTAATAAATATGTAAAGGTGTTAAGCAAGACGGTTTTATGATAAGATATGTGATATGAACTTTAATTAACGATATTAAACTTTATAAAAATTGCTTTTAAAAAATGTAGAGTCACATGAACATGTAGTATGTAATTATTTACATACAAAAAGCTTACTTGGAAAGCCGATTCAGATTTATAAAGAGTACGAATTTTCATATTATATTTTATCTTTTAAAATAAATCTTAATTTAAATATATTTTGCAGTGCATATCCCGTTCTACGTAATATACCTTGTATGTGAATCGGTCCGAATATAATGGTGATTTCGTCAATTTTAGAAATATTAAATATAATTTAAGGAAATACTAGAACTAAACAATAAAGCTCAAAAATTAAAATTAAACACGTAACCTTCCCTAACCACTGGTAAAGTAAAAGTTTTCTATTATGAAATCGAGCATTTATAAAGAGAATGCTAAAACTGTGGTGTAAGTGATAAGCTAGAGTTATTCAGCTCACATTTTACACAAATATAATAGTTTTACGTTAAATAGTCTATAACAATACCTTTACACTGGAGGTTCAGTTGTCAAATTTACAAACTATACAACGAGATACAAAAACATCTTTGCATCTTTATAGGGGGAATACTTTTTATTTGTTCCTTCTACTATTTCAATTTCAGTTGCTTGTAGTGTGCATAGCTAAATAATAATTCAGGCTTCAGCGCTTTTAACGTCCCACTGTTATTCACAGGAGTTCCCTCAATGCGAGTAAGATTAGGCTACTCTATTCCGCTACGCTAACTAAATTCTGGTTGGCATACCTTCTTCACAAATATTTAAAAAACTACTTAGGTTAAAAAAAATAAACTCATTTTTTCTACTATTCTTATTTTCTACAGCATCCAAACAATACGGTTTGAAGATTATTTTTACTTTTTTTTTACTGATCGACCGACCGACCGACCGACCGACCGACCAAACGAATGAACAGAGCTACTTTTGCATTTATAATATTAGTAAGAATGAATGAATTTAATTTCCGCTATTCGCTTACTTGGAAAAGTAACAAAATTTCTGCAACTTTAACATGAAAACTATATGGCTCCATTCACTTTGAGAAGTCTTGTAAATAATAATTTTATCATTTTAATTATAATAATTAATTACATTTCCTCGTATGAATTATATTATGTACTACCAAGTATTACTTTTACATTTTCATGCAAACGTAACAAAATTTTCTTAGTAGAGCCCGCCATCTCTAGTTAATTTTTTTGTAAATTAAATGTAGGCAATTTAGGAAATATTGAATAACAGCCCTGGTAAATGATTTAGATAAAACATCATAGATGGCGCTTTATTCATTGACTCGAGTAAAGGCCGAAAAGAAAACAATTAATTAGGTTGTTTAATATATTGTAATATACTATCAAATATTTTATAAAGAAGGTTAGCAAATTACAAAACGGGCTATTTTAATTAAATGAAATTATCTTCACGTTTATATTGCCCACTATTGTCAAAATAGATTATATGTATATAAACCACTAACGAAAAGGAGCTAGCACAAAATAAAATGATACATCAAGTTACACGTCTTGTTAATATTAAATCCTTAGTAAAACTGTAGATAATGTGAAAATACAGTTAATGTATATCCATACTAATATTATAAATGTGAAAGTGTGTTTGTTTGTCCTTCTTTCACGTCGAAACGGAGTGACGGATTGGCGTGATTTTTCGTGTGGAGATAGTTAGAGGGCTGGAGAATGACATAGGCTACTTTTTACCGCGGAGATTATCTAATTCCCACAGGAAAACACGTTATAATACAGTCCAAAAAAATATTTACGATCAGAATTACTTGAAACTTGGTATTAATGTTCTTCAATAAAATTAAATAAATACGTCTTTTAACATTTTTCAAAATTCATCGTATAAGGGGGTTAAATAGGGTATGAAATTTTGTATGAAACTACCTTCTTAGAGATTTTTTGCAGTTTTAGCGCGAGCGAAGCCGCGGGATCTGCTAGTTTCAATATAAAGGCTGCTAGTAACAAATAAAAGTCACGACATGCATGCTGAAATATTAGAATATAAAAAAAATATGTCAGTTTTAACTGTACCTTTACTGCTTCCTCAACGTCGTCATCTCTCGAAGCTTTTGCTAAGCTCTTTTTCATCAATTGATACATCGTTTCTCTTCTTAAATGACCTTCACCCAATAAGTCGTAACACTAAAAATGACAATATAATGCCTATTATAAAGGACATTCACTCAATGACAAAGCAGAAATCTTGAAAGCTACTTTCCCTATAAAGCTGAAATTTGGCAGGAAGTTATTTTATACATAATATGTAGTTAGAAAACGTCAGCTAAGAACGGAGTTTGCAAATTAAAGGAATTTAAGAGAGCTATCGTAAGCGCATATAAAAGTCTTATGTTTTTGCGGCTTGAGAAATAAAAAATGTGTCATATCTACTAGTTCCATAATTCAACTATGGCTGTAGGCGCTGGCAACATTCGTTTTATTTTTTTAATTTATAAATCCTGAATGATCTATGTATATTACATACGTATAAAACATATACATATAAAGTCTTTTAAATGTATCTACAATAAGATTTCATTTAGATATCGCTATTCCATGCATGCATTTTCTATATATCAAGAAAAAAACCTTGATAAATTACCAATAATAATTGTAAAATGAGATATTTGCGTTTTGCGTCACGTCGTAACGTTAAATACTTTTATTTGAACAAAGTACTAATTGGGCATATTGTTAATGATGTTAGTACATTTTAACGCTAATTAATTTGTAAGGAATATCCTAGTTTTATTTTTCGCCTCTTTAGCTTGCTTCAATTTCTTATCATAATTAAGCCATAAACATTTTTCTTGAATAAGTCATAATATCTGATATAAAAATAACGTTGTAAATCTTTTAGGTTTTGTATCAGCCATAAAACTAGCAACACTTACAGTAAAAGCGTAAGAGATTCGTTCGTCCAAATTTCCGTGTAAGTATAAAGACATTGCTTTAGCAAATGTTGCCATAGTGACATAAGGTGAAGTTCCTCTGTCCAGTGCGACCATAACGCGTTCCATCATGTATGCATCAGTCATGCCCAAACCAGTGTGGAGGACATCGCGAAAATGGGCCCTGAATATGAAATATTTAGTTTGGCTATATCAGAAAAAAATAATATGTAACAAAGATAAAATTTAATTGTATACGATAGAAGTGCATGTTAGTATAATTCGCTAGTATAATTTATTTATTTATTTTTATTTATTTATTTATTTTATTTACTAAGATCATCATTTTCGCATATAATATCATAAACAGTTTCTATGTTAATAACTGCATTAGTTATACAACTGAGCCGCAGTTATTAACGCCCACCTCTCTAGCAACGGGCTACAATTGTATATGCTAAATTAATTGTATCAATTATAATAATACAAAAAAAAAAATAAAATTTTCAATATCAATAATACAGAAAACAAAATATTCGACAAAAAAGTTGTAGTGTGTGATTTATGTTGATAGAATTCATTTGCTAGGTTAATAAATTTTGTGGTTTTATTATATAAGATTAAAATTATAGAATAAAAGTACATTATAAAAATATAGTATTCAAGCAATTTAAGGATTTTAGATTGTACTAAAACTATAAATTACTCAAATACTATCTTATGAATGTATGAAGTGTCTATTGACTCAGAGAGACTAGGTTTAGACCTTCGTCCTTAGTGAAAATTTTGGTTTGTATGTATTTTTTAATGCCGAATCAATAAAAAATAAAAAATTTTGTCCAAAATAATTTTTTTTTTGGGTGGACCACCTTTATCACTTATCGGTATGAAAATAAGGTTTACGTCCTATTCTCAGACCTACTGAATATACACACAAAATTTCATAAGAATCGGCCAAGCCCTTTCGGAGGAGTACAAACACTGTGACACGAGAATTTTGTATATTAGAGAGAGATATATAATAATATGTTTGGTAAGAATCTTCAAATAAAAAAAATGGAGGATTTTTATCGACCTTTTTTTACCGCATATTATATTCATGAAATACCTAATAATATTTTATGAAACAAATATCAATTATACCTTGATATCAAATCAGATGCAGCCGGCTTTTCATCTCGCTTTTGTATTTTGAAGAATATTATCATAACCTCTGAAATCAATACTAATATTATAAATGTGAAAGTGTGTTTGTTTGTTTGTCTTTCTTTCACGTCGAAACGGAGTGACGGATATGACGATGGATGGATTGGATGGTGTAGATAGTTAGAGGGCTAGAGAGTAACATAGGCTACTTTGTAACGCGGGAAAATATCTAATTCCCACCGGAAAACACGTTATAATACAATCCAAAAATATTTATGATCAGAATTACTTGAAACTCGGTATTAATGCTCTTCAATAAAATTAAATAAATATGTGTTATAGCATTTTTCGAAATTCATCCTATAAGTTGGTAAAATAGGGGATGAAAGATTTTATAAAGCTTTCTTTTTAGAGATTATTTTGTAGTTTTAGCGCGAGCGAAGCTGCGGGTTCTGCTAGTTTTAAATAAAACTCGTACATCTTTCCCTTGAGGAATAAAATTTATGACGCTTTATAGTTTCCATACATTTAATCTGATAAATAGTGGCTTCTCCATTATTCTGTAGATTATATATTAATACATCTAAGAACTTCACATCCATATTCTCCAAGGATAAGTTGTGTTTGTTATTTTTTTCCAACTCCAATAATATATTACCTAGTAGTAGTCATGCACCCTCCCTTTATTCAACTGTTACATATTATTGCACGTCTTTAAGTGGAACGTCTTAGCTAACTTGAGAAACTTATCAGGATAAAATATATATAGGTCACTTTTAATTTTATTTTATCTATATGTTTTATTTTATCTATATATTTTTTTATCTATATATTTTATTTTATGTATATGTACAGACGTTCTATATTTGCAGATAAAAACAGTTCAGTAAATTTTTCTCCTCTGTTTGTCAATCGATTATCTTGTTTTATTTTTATTTTGTAGCTATTTACGAGCTTCATATTGTTATCAATAAAAAAAATGGTACCTAACAATTTTATATAGATAATTAAATTCTAATCATATTTGTTTTCCTCAAATTTTCAATAATGATTATGGTCAAATTTCGACCACTAAACAAGCAATAGAAATATTTAATTAATAGAGAGATTAATTTATTAACCGCTTGTTCATAATTAAATTTAAATATTTACTTGTTTTTGTACTAACGTTCCAACTCATCGAATGTAAAATGTGTATCTTTTTGTATTTCAATCCACATGGAGCCATGTTTCTTGCGAAACCGTATCTCCTCCATGGGGTCCAAAGCAGAGTCTAGTGAGGCCGACATTGTGTTAAGTGTCTTTAATAGTTTTTAGTTATGCTAATTCATAAACTGTATCAAATGAAGAATTAAAAAACACCATGGTGATTTTTTCAAATGTCATAGTACTATGACATTTGGGTTGTAAAATTTTATGTTTATTAATGATGTTTCGTATGTCATAATCAACAAAAAAGTTATAATATACATATAAATGACGTAGGTAATTTATATATAGATAAATAAATAATATTATAATAAGATGAAGTATAGGGAATATGCAAGCCTACCTATTGTAAATTTAAATAAACGTTATTAAATTTTATATGAAAAACTAATATACATTTACAAATGCGAAATATCAAAAACCATACCATACAATATCGAATTTACCGTTGTAAAGGCACAAAGCTTTGATAAAGGCTTTGTGTGAACAATTAAGTATTCGATGTCAGTATTGTGACGGTACAATCAAACACCCCTATTGTCCTTTACACGTGCTAAAGCTCGGCCAAATTGCATGATCCTTGCACTGGCCCTGCATAGTAATTAAATTTAGTGTGTGACGCAAAACATGTAAGCTTTTATATTCTAAGACTATTTTTATGTATTTACTACTACTACTAACTTTACTATCTAGCGACTTACTCTCGCGTCGTTCGGGTTCGTCCCTAGTTACGTTTCAGCGTTTAATATAGATTTCTCAGAGATGACATATTTTTTCGCAGTAAAAAGTATCCTATATGTGGACACGGATAACCAGCTACCATCATACCAAATTTTATCAAAATCTGTCCAGTGGTTTTCTCGTGATGCGGCACAGACAGACAGACAGATAAAACTATAGATTCTATATCGATAATAATGACTATTTCAATAAGATTTTCCAAAAAATATTTAATGTTTAATGTACAGATTTGACTCAGAATTTTATTATGTGTATAGATATGAAAATAAATACTATTACGCTTAGAACATGCCCGAATAAATGATGACAGCTGAGCCTGAATGATATAAGCTGATTCTGTCTAGTCAGAGTAGTTCTTTAAAAAAACTGCTTATGTAGAAATTAATAGCTACCTGGAATTAAAAATACTTTAATTGTGATTTCACAGAATTTCTCTCAATCCTTTATATTGATTAATGATATTTTTATCTTTTAAATTAATACAATAAATACTTACTTTACCCAATTAAACTTTCACAGGCATATTGAAGAATTTATTAACTAAATATTCACGATGACGTATACTTGAAATCTAATATGTAACTTAATTATATATATTTTATTATATTTTTTAATCTTAAAAGGCGCATATGTACTCGTACATAAATTTATGTGTGCGTTGAATCCGATTCGATGTTTTACTAGATCCGGTAGTACGCAACACTTTTATTATTATTTTTTAATTTTCTTATTGTCTATTACGGTGATTATTCGAGAAATAAATGGATTAAACAAATTATTACGTGGTGCAGGTACGGAAGTCAACTTTCAATATAAATAAAATAAATTATTATAAATATACTTTTACTATAGCTTATATCCATATTAATATATAATAAAATATGTGAAAGTGTGTTTGTATGTTTGTTTGTTTGTTCTTATTGCACGTCGAAACGGAGTGACGGATTGGCGAGATCTTTGTGAGGAGATAGTTGGAGGACTGGGGAGTGACATAGGCTACTTTTGCCGCGGGATATTATTTCATTCTCACGGAATAACACGTTATAAGACAACCCAAAAAATATTTGTGGTCAGAATTACTAGAAACTTAGTATTAATGCTCTTCAATACAATTTAATAAATACCTGTTCTAGCATTTTTCGAAATTCATCACATAACGGGGTAAAATGAAGGATGAAAGTGTGTATGAAACTTACCTTTTTCCGCGGGTTCTTCTAATAAGTTATAAATAAATTTAATTGTACCTATGACTTTAATACAATTGAATTATTTTCGTGCCAGTACCTGTTACTTGTTTACTGTTTGTAAACACCTATGAACGAATGGACTAGCATATCCAGGTGGTATATTTTATTTTATTTTTTTGCTTTTTGACATTAACACACAGCACCATCTGGTTCCATGGTACGCTACGAGGATTGTGTTATGGATACCAGATAGTTGTTATATACTTATTATTATAAATATACATATGTTATTATTTTGTGTCATAAATTATCAGTAAAGCAGCTTCTGAAGGAAAATTATCTTCTATCGCAAAATAAACCTTTAAAATAGTCAGGATATACATATATGATCTTTAACTCGATTTATATGTAACGACTTCAATCGTACTACAAGAAGAACGTAGTAATGTTATTTTCAGAGAAATTTTCAAATTTAATTACGAAGACAACATAAAAAAGAAAAGACTGCTAAATGAAAGAAATAACAATTATAAATACAGTCAATCTAATCTATACCTAGTAATATTACAAAGAGGTAAAGCTTGGGAGATTGTGAGTTTGTGACGTTGTATGGGATAAGATCTATTGAATCTCTCTAGATCTACTGAACCGATTTAGATTAAATTTGGTAAGAAGATAGTTTGATAGCCTGGGAAGGACATAGAATACTTTTAATTCCGGAAATCATCCCTTAAGGGGGTGAAAATAGTGATGAAAGTTTGTATTGCGAAGAAAGCTAGGGACGATTATTCGCTAGTATACTTATAAAATAAATTATTTATACATTATTTTTATTTATAATATTTTATCTCGAATAATGGTTTTCCATAATTTTTATTTGATTGCACAACGCAATAAAACACAATCGGAATCGAATTCACAGCCCTGGATGAGGGCATGTCCATGACCATGCCATGCTCGATCATGTTAGATGATATACATACCTATTTATATTTTCAATAACTATAGGTATCACAATATATTTTGTTAACGCCAAATCCCTTATTATTTATGTAACTAGCATTGCCCGTGGCTCCGCCCGCGTTCAGATGACCAAAAACCAATATCTTAGATTTTACATATTAGTATACTCTTAAATTGCAGTTTTTGTATTTTTTCTCAAAAATGAGATGTTTTGCTGCGGTTAAAAGTATTCATAGGACATGTTGACCCGGATAACCAGCTATCATCATACCAAATTTCAATAAAAATCACTCCAGTTATTTTTCTGTAATGCGGTAACAGACAGACAGACAAAAATTCCAAAACTATAGATTGGATACGATTTTCCAAAAAATATCTAATGTACAGATTCTGCTTAGTTACAATTTTATTATATGTATGGATTTGATATTAAACCATGTTTGACTAAACTATTTTTAAATATAATTTTTGCTAATAAAAGAATTTACAGACATGATTAAATAAATAATGTTGACACTAAAATATAAGCTAAATATTATCCTACTAAAGTCGTTCATTGTAAATGGCCCTAAAGGCACTAGAGTTATCAGTCACAATAAAACCTGCGCAGTCGAATGTGATCTCGGCTTGTTACCGGCAGTGACGAGTTCAGTCAGCTCCTAGCCGCCCAATCGCGAAGGTGCCGCCCGCCCTAGGTGGAAACGCGCGCCAAAAAGTTTTAACGGTTTAAGTGTGTGTAGTGTGCAGAGTTCAGGTACAATTTAAAAATTTACATTTGCATCATGTAATTATTTTTTAAGTAATAATTACACATCAATATTAAATATTGTTGTTTTATGGCTTGAAATAGTTAAGCGATGCGAATTTCTACTAAGTGTTTAAAAATTATTAGATGCGATGCAAGCGAATTTCTAAAATTAATAGCAATATTTACGTATAAATATACGTAATATAATTCTGGCGATATCCCAAAATTTAACCACATAAATTACTTCGTTACTTCCTTTTTCTATTCATTTGTTTCCGCGGAGATCTTAAAACTTTATATTACTTCCTAGTATTTGGCTAATGGTGTGGAAAATCGGACTTTCTCTAATGTAATCTAAACATCCGACGCTCTGAACGTTTGTAAGTACTTTATAAGTTTTTTTAATTACTCATTTTTAAATTATGTTCGCAAAATTGCAGTTCTTTTTGTCTTAACAGCACATGTGTTAAAGAGAGTGAAGGGGTTTCAAATTAAAAAAAAAAAATTTGCACATGAAAATATTATTACTTAATGCATACTTATTATATACAATATACCTGTATGTACCTTGGCAATATGTCTTCACGATCCACTTTACTCCAATTGACCGAGAAAGCATCTTCATTCAAGACAAGACTTTCATTTGAACTTTGACCTATCTTTGAGTAAACTTTAATGTAACTCAAAGAAGTTCTAATAAGACCCTGCTACCGAAATTACAACCGCGTCCACAAGTATTTACTAATGAAACGGCAACAGCGACTGCCCCGCAACTGCGACTAAATGCTAAAACATTGCAGGCATTAAGCTAGAGGCTTAGGCTTAGAGCAAGAGGAAACTTAGTATCAATTTGCGAATGTTCCTTGATTCAGTTATGTACCGGAAATCGAGTTTGATTTGTTTACTTAAAGCAGAATGAATATATATAAAAACTAATACATAAATATGCTAACTCAGACCTCTGGTCAAACATCGAAACTCACAACGAGGATTCTGCTCCATCGCTGAACTAGTGGGCGCAGTACGATCTCTTGCGCATGCACCACAATATCTTTGCGTTTATTTATACCTAAGAAAACGCATATCCACCGCTGTTGACACGGTCGGCACGCCGAGACCCTAATAGAGGTCGATAGGCTGATTTTTATATCAAAGGCCTCAAGAAATTCAAAATAAATTTCTTTCTTACAAAATAAACATACTAGCGACTCTCTCATCAGCGTAGCTCCTATGCAGAAATCATTTTCTACTCTACGCAAAGTAAAGTAAATAATATTAATTTAATTTGCTATGCTTGGAAGCTGTAAAAATTTCATCAAAAACGTTATAGTACTTTAGAGTCTAGATGTGATATTGTGATGTGCAAACACTCACATATTTACTTTTGTCTTTTGTAGGAATGCAATACATATGTATATTGATACTAAGCGAGTTTGAGGAGTGGATCCTTGCGCTGAAGCTCTTGCATTGAAGCGCTTTGACCTAGGAATAGGATTAGTATCTGTAACAGAACATAGAATTTTATCTTAACTCAGATTTTGCCAAGACTTGAGGCTGCAGTATCTATTACCTTGAACTCATATCATTCACTCCTGAAATGTATTAGTATTTTTAGCAATGGATAAATATAACTGGAATAATATTTGTAACTTCGTAAAATCTTTGGCATAACATGGCAAGACAGAGAGAGAGAGAGTTCTAGAAATTGTAATGCTGCCTAGCTTGACCGCGCTTTTTAAACAGAGATGTTTGTGCTGGCTAGAGCATGTCCAGAGGATGAAGCATACTCGATTACCACGACGTGTAGTTCTTGGTGCGGATGCGAACGCAAAAAGAAACGTCGAGAGGCCATTGCTTCGCTTTAAAGACTGCAGCAAAAGAGATGGCTGCTTTTAAAATTTAACACCAAAACAGGGAAAAACTTGCAGGAAAACATTATAGTGTCGAAGGTTTTACGATAAAACCGGGTTCACGGCACTTGCTGACAAGAGACAAGCCTAACCTCAATGCTACTCATACTTCCATCGCAAACTGTCAGGTCTGCAATAGGGCATGTCACTCTTCCCCCCAACGTGCGTTCACGTTATCTAAGTTTTAAAGTAAGTATTTTAAAAAATAGTGATAGCCAACCTGTAGTAAAATATTAGGTACATAAGTAATGAGCAGGTTGAAAAATCATTTAATAGCTTAAAATTATTCATATATTGCCTACTCGCTGTCGCTGTCATTGTTCTAATCCAATTTCAATTTTGTTTGTTATCTTCATACAAAAAATTAACAATACAATAAACTTGAATTTCACAATTTTCTTTCATTCTTTTTTCAATAAAAAAAAATCTTTGGAAATTAAAACATTTCCTAAAATTTTATGAATATGAATGAATGAATATGTTTGAATTATTTATTCTACTGCGTTGACAGACGCATAGATAGAGAAAAATTTAAACATTCTTGGCTTCTATAAAATACTTTTTTTGACAATAAAAAATTACAATTGATATCATCATATGTATAGATTTTAGACAATTTACTTATAAATATATATGCAACTAAGACGCATAAATCGTCTTTGTATTGTATATTATATAAACAGACGTGCGTATCGCATGACTCTGGAAAGCATAGTGTAATAATATATTATTACTAAATTAACCAATCTATCTATTATTATGGATATAAGCTAACTAACAGTTAAGTTAACTGAAAGTTAATCTAACCGACAGTTAGGCTAACCGAGAGTTTAGGTAACTGACAGTTAATCTAACCGACAGTTAAGCTAACCGACAGTTAAGCTAGCCGACAGTTAAGCTAACTGACAGTTAAGCTAACCGACAGTTAAGCTAACCGACCGTTGAGTGAACAGACAGTTAAATTAACCGACAGTTATGCTAACCGTTAGTTAAGCTAACCGACAGTTAAGCTAACTAACTAAACCTAGCTAACTAACTAAACCCTAGACTTGACATATACATACATAACAAAAAACATGTAAAAAAATGTCAATAATGAATCAATTAAATGTAGAAAATGCACAAAAATAGAAAACTATACAGCGTAAACGCAGAAAAAATATTAATTTTACAGACTACTTCTTAATGATGGATAATAATTTCTTTACAAAGAAAGAATAATATGATGTCCCATCAAAAACATAAATGTGAAAATGGGAGCCAAGTTTAATATGAACAATTTGCGTGGTTGTCGATATGTACCCAGTTCTGTAGATAATCCTGAATTTCTTTATAAGAACATTTTAAAATATATTTAAAACAAATAAAAAATTTTCGGCTACTTTGAATAGTCGAATTATTTACACAGAGCAGATAACTTAAGATGAATTGAAGCTCATGATTTGACTTGGCTAAGTTTTACCACACTTATATTATTGATGGGATATAGAAAACTCGAAGAACCCACGGCTTCGCTCGGGCTGAAACTACAAAAAAAGTACTCTTTGCCTTTATGCTATTAGTATTAATTTGATAGCTGTAATGATTTTTAAATGTGTATGATTTTGAACTTTGAATTGCTACATATAACGACTTGGACCTGAGATTTACTAATTGTCATTGAAAAGCAAATTTTAAGGAGGAATTACAATAGAATAAATTCAATCCGTCGCTCTGTCTCGACGTGAAAGAAGGACAAACAAACAAACAAACACACCTTCACAATTATAATATTAAAGTATGAATCTAAAAAAGAAATGAAAATGGATGAATCGAGAAATCGGGTTCACTTTTGTCTATACATAATTAATAAAACAAAAAAAATGCTAAAAACTGAGTCAGGGATGTAAGAAGAGAAATAGAACAATTTTTTTTAATTTGTTTGTTTCTGTCTGTTTGTACAGCTAATCTTTTTTTGTGGCTTTAAATGAAATTAAGCATGGTGGTACCTTATGGTCCTGGTCAACATTTTAGATACTTTTCATCCTGTAAAATTAAAGAGTTCCCGTGGGATAGTTAAAAAACTATAGTAACTTGCACAGCTTAGTACAGAAAAACTACTAATTGGATTTTAATGAAAGCTTACAATAATATAGTTCATGCATCAAAATAACAAATAGGCTACTTTTTGTCCCGGTAAAATGTACAGTTCCCGTGGGATAGATTTGTTTTAGTTTATCTGGAGGCGAACCCGAGTGAAGCGAGGGAGAGCCGCTAGTTTAATATAATTAATATAATTTGTTTAATATAAGCTATGACTTATTAGACTCCAAAGTGAACGATGCGAGTAAATATTTATTTTATTATTTTATCCTTTTTTTGGGACAAACTATGTTATAAAAATAACATAACCAAACATAAATATTTATATAACGTCTATACCATATATTATATAAAACAAAAGTGTGTTTGTTTATTTATATATCTAAACAGCAGCATAAAACCAATATGATTATAAATAGTTCTGTAATCTGGAAAGCAATATACTCGTAGACACTTAATCACGCCAAATAAATGGCTCCTGACGTAAAATAACTCGTATGGGTTAAGAAAAAATTGCAATAGATAATGACATCCCGCAAACTAATACCAGTTACCTAAATTGAAACTTATATGACAGCAAAAGCTTGGCTAAAACCATTAAAATAATCGTTTAATTTCGTATATAAAGACATTTAAATTACAAAGTCCTATAGTAATTTACTAAAACGCGAATATAATAATTATGGTGTGTACTTATGTATGTAAACTTTACCACATGTGCAATAAAACTATCGGTACGTTTATAATATTTTCATTTATTATTATTTTTTTTACTCGTCTGGGATGAATCACTCATGCAGAGTGTTTTGTCAAGGAACTAAACAGAGCACACGTTAGCTATAAGTTATAGCTAAAATTAATTAACATACCTGTAATCTGCCCATGGAAAGTGAGTTCTTTGCGTTTAATGAGAACTATTATTGATGTCCTTAATAATTTATAAAACACAAATTTATATTTAATTTAATTGTATACTTACAATAGTATATAACCCGCTGAATAGCAATAACCCCGCTGAACAGCAGATTCCTTAGGTGAAAAACAAGCCAGCTTTCCTGTCTCCAGTAGAGCCAATAAGACGAGGTGTTACGGCTTTTAAGAAGTGTTTAGCACTTTGACTCCATGGGATTCTACTACAAATAGTATAAAGGCATAATTTTGACTAAAGGAGTCATATTTACGCAACTTAGTAGATATGCTTTCCGCCGTGGCCTTTCCCCGCTTTTGAGGCCTTCTCTCTGGACATGGAACGAGGCCAATGAATCATCAAATCAATCAATACATGTAACGTCCCACAATAGAGCCCGTCCCCTTTCCCAAAGAACCAGCAACAGTACTTCAGATAGCTTCTCATCATCTATAATAGTTCCTGCGCAGTGTACCGAAATTTTTATTTATTGAAATATTTAAATAATTTCATTTAATCATTTTTATTTATTAACAAGCCATAAAACTACTAATATTATAATAAGTACCTGGGCGACCGAGCTTCGTTCGGAGTTTTTGGCCAAAATCACATTTAAAAAAAAACGAACTAAATATTTGAATAAATACAAAAAAAAAACAAAAGTAAAAACTTTGTATACGACCGGGATACGAACCCAGACACCTGTGGTGGTCAAACTTTCGAAACAAAACCGCATGAAAACTCGAAAACACGCGTTTTCTCAGACATAAAACTAATTTAGATCGATTTATCGCTCCTGAAACCCCCCGTATGCTAAATTTCATGAAAATCGTTAGAGCCGTTTCCGAGATTCAGATATATATATATAATATACACAAGAATTGCTCGTTTAAATATATAAGATATAGAAATATAAGTGTTTGTATACCAAATTTTTTTTATTCAGTAAAAGAGTCGACGAAAATTAGAAAACTATTGGAAGCACCAGTCATGGCCATAACTAAAAAAATGTTTAACTTATCTTTTAAAAATCACGATGGATGGGGTCTAGACAATGTGTCAGCAGATAAAATGAAATTGGAGCAAATTAAACAATCTTGCTTTGAGACAAGTGACAATCATAGCAAATACATCAGCACCGATGAAGACAGTGGTAAGTTATGTTATATATAGCGATTCACTTTGCAAGCCTTTACGACATGAAGAAGCACTTCCTTCATTCATATATTATTGTCTCATCCAAATGTTAGGCAAAGCAAAATATTTACTTATCGTTAGAATACGTAATCAAGTACGCTCTCAAGTAGTTTCACTTCTATTTGTAGCAGATCAGTGACCAAATCACGTTACATATATGTTTTTTATATTACGGTTCATGTATACATATAATAAAATTCTATTTGCGCCGAATCTGTACATTAAATATTTTTATGGAAAGACTTATCGAAATAGTGATTATTATCAATACAAAGGACGAATCTACAATTTTCAGAATTCTGTCTGTCTGTCTATCTGCCTGGGAACGCATCATAACAAAACTATTGGACGGATTTCGGATAGTTTATACTGCGGAAAAATATCTCATCTCTGAGAAATCTATACTAATCGTCAATACGCTCCTAGGGACGAACCTGAGCAGTGCGAGACAAACTTTAATTTCTTGTATTGAAATCATATTCTTTAATAAAGTATATTTTTCAGATTTAACTAATTATTGTCCTCGGACATTTGATGGAATTGCATGCTGGGACGACACTCCTGCCGGTGCAACTGCTTTTCAGAACTGTCCATCGATAATCGTTGGTTTTGATTCAAATCGCTTGGCATATAAGAAGTAAGTATTGGAACAGCAATAATAAGTAATAAGATTACAGACTTTATTATAGTAAATTTCTCTCAAAGTAACAAAAAGTAATAGTCGACTTACATTTTTTTTTCAATTAACAATTCCGTGATACATTTGTTTAATACAAAACAAATAACTATTAATTATTACCTCCGATAAAATTCACTTAAACTAAAGTATGTTATGTAATTAATAAAAAACTTATTTACAATAATCAATTTTAAAATAAGTGCATACCTAAAGAAAACACGAAACCAAAATGCTACTTTTAACTTTAAAATGATTGAATACATGAAACGAAACCAATACAATTACAATTTACATACACTGAAAAAAATTTTTTGACTACCTAGGTACCTAATTAGGCACTACAGGCAACATACAAAAGAAAACAAAAACCTATCAAAATATACTTTATTCAAATAGACTTTTACAAGCTCTTTTGATGCTCTATGCCACCACCTAATTGCAAAAAATAATGCATATAAAAATTGTTGTACGCATGTGCCTTTGACATGCTAGGACCCCTCCTCACTTCCGTCTGCCACTGTCTCCGCTATCGTCGTCATCGTTAAGATATTCGCGATTTATTTTAAATCTGTGATTTCTTCTAATAATCCGAGAGCCAGGTAAAAATTTGGTCGATTATTTCCTCTCAAGCGATAATTAGTGGAATGCATCAGAGAGTTGTATCATAAAGCTTCGAGAACGTCAGCTGCGGCTCCGTGGGTGGGATAAACACGAAAAAAAACCAACCATTTCCTCTTACCTGAAAATTTGTTAAATCGTTGCTAACCCATTATCTCGATGAAAGAAAACAATCAGCTGTCTATAACATTGTGGATTATACGAGTACGTCAGCTGGTCGCTCGAACACGAAAAAAATGTATACTTTCAATGATTTTCTTTCAACTGAAAATTTATCTGATGGTAGCTTATATGCAAACATGAATAAATATATATGTCACTTTGAAAGTCATAACGCAAGAGTTAGGCGGGAGGGAGCATCTATCGCATCTGCATCAGCATATGCATCATCTGCATCAGCATATGTATATGCATCAGCTGACTTGGTCTTGGAGGTCAGCTGTTTTTTTTTATTAATTACAGCAGTGTATTAAAAATCAGCTGACAAATTTTCACATGAGAGAAAATAATGTTTTTTAAATTATTTGGCATTACGTTTCAACGAAATAAATATTCCATAGTAATTAATACTCTAGATTAATCATTAGCTTAAATGAATTAAATGAAAATAAAGCAACAATACAATTTACAAATGATAATTAATTAAATTTTAAGATCGTACATGTAGATAAAATGAGAAAAGAAAATGCAAAAGAAAAAAGCTCTATATTCTTGAGTCTTGAACCCAGAACGGTCGGATATCGGCACTCAGTATTGCCTTAAGAGTTCGTACTGCGCTACCAAGTCACATATGGAGTTATGATCAGGATGCAGGTTAATAACCGCCCCAAAATATCACTTTTTTTAGAAATTGACTTTACTATTAACACAAATAAGGACTTTTAACGGTATATTTAACAAGTATATTTTGTAGTATTTAAAAATGTTTTATGAGTACATAATAGAATAAAGTCTTACTTAATAATTTGTTTGTTTCGTTTATCCAATAAATAAACGAATTATAGGTATCTGTTTATTTGTTAAGGTGGCCTTCCATGGTCAACCCACTTTATTTTGAAACGCAAGAGAAACTACTATATATTAAATATTCCATATCTAATTAATCTAAAATGTTGATTGATTTCGATTACAGCATCTAAAATTAATTAAGGGGGAAATTTTAGTAGAAGTACTTTGCACATATTATAATATTTTGACTACATCTATACTAATATTATAAAGAGGTAAAGTTTGTGAGTTTGAGAATTGTGAGTTTGTGAGTTCGTTACGTTGTAGGGGGTAATCTCTTGATCTAATGAACTGATTTAAATGAAAAATGAAGATTTATATTCGTGATAATCTCTTTTGAATCAGATTACAAAATTCTATCCACTTGTATGCAACAAAAAACTACACAATAGCTATTTAATGAAAACACTAACATTATAAATTTATAAATTATAGTGCACAAGTGTACGCACAGACACAAGTGCACTCTCTATTCCTGTCACTCTCATACTCCGGTGGGACGACTACTCGACACGACTGATAAGAGTTAAGGCGCAGGACCGACGGCTTTACGTGCCCTCCGAGTCACGGGGGTGAAACACCGCCAACTTCCCAACTCCGGGCTGTTACTGAGGCTTACTTTACAGAAAGACTCAATAACTAAACTTGGCCCGACCCGGGACTCGAACCCAGGACCTCCGGGTGTGCAGCCGTACATGCTAGCCACTACACCACAGAGGCAGTCAAGATAAATATAATTATGTTACATTTTGACAAAACTGTCAATTTCTTTTACATATTGTTGTCATAATGAAGAAACTGAACAACAGAACGTCAATCTGTCAACTCACTATTTTATTTATTTAACCCCTTTCCGTACAATGTTTCAAATATTTCTTTCAACCAAACCTTGCCCTGACAAATTACAAACACAACAAAATAGATTTAGCCATATAGAAGCATCCGTTCTGAAGTAGTTTGCTTACATATATTTGGCAATTGATTTTTATTGATATAGAAGAGAAGAAGAAGATACAAGATTAAACACTTAAGCTCCGGGCAGTAGTTTAATAATATAAAGCTAACTTGCTAGCCTCAATGTTTTTGTTTACTGAGTCACATATACATGCCTTTACATTACCTAATACAATAGCTCGCGGAAGTAACAATTTATTGCAATAAATATAGTTACAAGTAGATACATTATATAGAATAATAGCTTACGATAAATTAAACTATTTGAAATCTATTACGTAATATATTTATGGAATCACACACGTGTACTAGGTATTTTAGACGCGTACAAGTCGCATACCAAATATTTTATCGAAATATATGTATTTTTACTTTTTGCTTTATATTTAACTAGTAAAATGACGAAAATTTAAGAAAACAGGCAATGTTTTCACAATCAAAGAGGATTAGCCTAGACGAAGAATAGTACAAAAGGTACCAACATGAATACTTGACTAATTTAAAGTCAGTAAGTTAATGTCACACTCAAACATTAACAACTCCTACTCGTACATTTATTTTGTTAGTGACTGAGTCAGTGCCAGCAAGGTTATTCTTTTTTCTTAATTAAGGTTACGGGTAATCAATTGAAGATATTTAATTAAGCAACCCATCTGTATCAAATATACGTACTCGTATATGTTTAATTTAGAATAGGTTTTTTCAAACTGGTTTTTAATACCCGAAGCATATTATAAGTATAACTAGCGACTCACCGTCGCTTCGCTCGGGTTCGTCCCTTGATTGATTCTCCATACAAATTTTCATCCTCATTTTCACCCACTTTTTTTTTTTTTATGGGACTAAGGGGGCAAACGGGCAGGAGGCTCACCTGATGAAAAGTGATCACCGCCGCCCATGGACATCTGCAACACCGCAGGGCTTGCAGACGCGTTGCCGGCCTTTAAGAAAGGAATACGCTCTCTTCTTGAAGGTGGCCAGGTCGTAGCGGTTCGGAAAGACCGCCGGCGATAGCTGGTTCCACAGAGTGGTTGTGCGGGGCAGAAAATGCCTTAAAAATCGCACTGTTGTGGAACGCTGGACATCGAGATGGTGTGGATGGAGTTTACTATTTTGGCGCGATGTCCGATGGTGAAATTCAGCAGCCGGGATCAGTCCGAACAATTCCTCAGAACACTCCCCGTGATAGATGCGGTAGAAGATGCAGAGTGATCCAACATCTCTACGCAGAGCTAAAGGATCAAGCAAGGAGAGAGCTTGATCGTCGATAACTCGAATCGCCCTACGTTGAATGCGGTCAAATGGAAGTAGCTGGTACTGGGGAGCTCCCGCCCAAAGATGAGAACAGTACTCCATGTGGGGCCGAATTTGCGCCTTATAAAGAATAAGACGCTGACGCGACGTGAAGTACTGTCTCGCCTTGCTGAGCACACCAAGCTTCTTTGAGGCCAGTTTGGCCTTACCTTCCAATTGACCACGGAACTGGACGTTGCTCGAGATGTCGACGCCAAGTATTCCGATACTGGCTGTGGGAGACAGAGGAGTGTCCTCAAATTGAGAAGCTACGATAAATGGCGACTTTTTAGCGGTTAACGCGCAAACTTGTGTCTTTTTGGGGTTGAATTGGACTAAGTTTAGTCGACCCCAATCCGAGACTTTGGTTAACAGAGATTCGACTTCAGACACAAGTTTGTTCCGGCTCTCGACGACGTATTCCCGAGAAATATTAACGCGGCCAGTGTACAGCGCATCCACAGTGCTATCGTCTGCATAGCAATGAATGTTGCTAATTTGCAACATGTCATTGATATGCAGAAGGAACAGAGTAGGAGACAGTACACAGCCTTGTGGAACACCAGCATTGACATATTTAGGATCAGAGCAAGCACCGTCGACAACGACCTTAATGCTCCGATCTGCCAAAAAGCTGGTGATCCAGTTGCAAAATTTCTCGGGGAGCCCATAGGAAGGTAGCTTCGAAAGAAGCGCTTTGTGCCATACCCGATCAAAGGCCTTCGCTATGTCCAGACTGGCTGCAAGCGCCTCCCCCTTGGTCTCAACTGCTTCTGCCCATCTATGTGTCAGGTAAATTAGAAGATCACCGGCTGAGCGACCTCGACGGAAGCCGTACTGGCGGTCGCTAATCAGCCGGTGCTCTTCTAGGTACCGCAGGAGCTGGCAGTTGATAATGGACTCCATTATCTTAGAGAACAAGGAGGTAATGGCTATAGGCCTATAATTGGACGGATCCGAGCGGTTGCCCTTTTTTGGGATCGGGTGCACTAAAGCGACCTTCCAGGATTTCGGGACTACGCCTGATAAATAGGAGTACCGGAAAAGACGCGTTAAGACCGGTGCCAACTCCGGAGCACATGTCTTCAACACGATCGGAGGGATGCCATCGGGCCCACTCGACTTATGAATGTCCAAGGAAAGAAGTGCTTTGCGAACTGCACTTTGCCGGAACTGAACTTCCGGCATCGTAGTATCACACCGCGGGATTATCGGTGGTGAGTTTCCTTGGTCATTCAGAGTCGAATTGGACGCGAAGAGAGTGCCCAGTAGTTCGGCTTTCTCCTTCGCGGTATGAGCCAGCGAGTCATTCTCCGTGTGCAGAGGTGGAAAAGAAGGCTTACAGAAATTCCCTAAAACAGCTTTGGAGAGAGACCAAAACGCACGTGTTCCCGAAGGGAGACGCCCCAATCTCTCGCCAATTCTGCCGATGTGCTTCGACTTCGCATTAGCAATACTACTTTTGAAGGACCTGGAGGCAAAGTTATACTTCTTTTTAAAGGCGCTAGTATTTACATCACTAGACGCCGACGCGACAGCCCAGGCTTGGTAGCATTCCAGCTTTCGGCGAGATGCCATCTTGCAAGAGTGACCAAACCAAGGCTGGGATTTGCCTCCGATAGGCACTGCAGAGAACGGAATAAATAGTTCCATACCCTGAAGTACCACATCGGTGACAGAATCAGCAACGACGTCTGGATCATCTGGCGAGAAGCAAATTTGCCCCCATGGGTAGGACGCAAAGAATGACCGCATCCCGTCCCAATCCGCTGACCTGTAATGCCATACACGGCGACAGCCCGCAAAGCGAGGCCGTGTTAAGCGCGTGACTGGCACTGTACTCCGGACAAGACAGTGGTCCGACGAGCCAAGAGGAGGATCGACGGAGACCAGGTAGCCGTCCGGATGAGAGGTTAACAGAAGGTCTAACAGGGAAGGTGTATGATCTTCCACATCAGGGATTCGCGTTGGCGAGGTAACCAGTTGTGTCAGATCATATGCCAATGCGAAATCGTGAACAGATCTCCCCGCATGATCGGTGGTACGTGATCTAAGCCATTCAGTATGATGGGCGTTAAAGTCGCCGAGAATCACGATCTCTGCGGATGGGATCTGCTGGAGCACGGAATCTGTAGCCGTTTGCATGTGCTCAACGAGTCGGTCAGTTTCGGCATTGCCGCTATGAGACCTATACAGGCACGCGTAGATTCGCGGATGGTCGTCGCAGTCTACACGTAGCCAGAGGATGGATAGGTCCCGCCCTTCAAGGCTGCTGAGGCGACGAGAGCAGATGTCCTCTCTGACGTACACGCACACTCCAGCCCGCGGTACAAAGGAATGCTCCAGATTATACCCCGGGTAAGAGAGGAAAGAGGTGTCAGCCGGGGACGATATCTGCGTCTCGGTAAGGAAGAGCAAGGCCGGCTTCGCCGTCTCAAGGTGGAAGTGGACGGCGTTCAAGTTGGAATTTAGTCCCCTTATGTTGCAGAAGTCCACGGCAAGTGTGAAAGGGGTAGCCTTATGTTGCCTGCTCCGATTGCCCCGAACAGAAGACGAGAGCGCAAAATTGCCCCCCCAGAATTCGGAGGGCAGCCTGGGCACCCACGCTCAGGTAGTGTACGAGCCAAACATGGATGCCCAGAGAGGGATTCTCCACCGCGATGTGCGCTGGTGGTACCCTCCTGGGGTAGACTGACCAAATTTCGCACTGTCATAAATTTAGTGGTGTGGGGGAGGGGTGGGGAGTGGGCCTCCCGGGACTCTCACTTACCGAACGAAACGCGACAGCAAAGCTGCCACTTTACGCCGGACTTCTGTGAGAGAGTGGTACTTAACGGGACGTGCCGGCCCATTCGGCTGCTACCCGAAGGTAACTAGCATGGCACTACCACAGTTTTTGGTTGACTGATTGCACTGGTGGAATAATCTCTGTCACTAGATTATCCCACCAGCGGGCGGTGGGGTCGTCACGTCCCGACGCCAAAAATCACTTAAGGGATGATTTCCGAGATAAAAAGTATCCTATGTCCTTTCCAGGGTCTTAAACTATCTTCTTACCAAATTGCATGTAAATTTGTTCAGTAGATCTAGAGATTACCCCTTACAACGTCACAGACACACAAACTTTATCTCTTTATAATATTAGTATAGATTTTAGAATTATCTTCTTTAATTATCTTTTTTTAAGTATTATTATTTTTTTACAATTAACCTATTATATAATACCTTAGTAAGCTCAACCTTAGCATATGGTTTAGTAGTTTGAAATCCACAATATCAGTTCAATATCGAGGCAATTGATAAAGTCCAGCTTAAGTTTATCAAGTATTTGACTTTTAGAAATCGTTCCCTCCAGCAAAGGCGTCCTATTATTCAGCCTCTATTGAATCGTCGCAGAATTAAGGATCAATTATTTTTATTTAAACTACTTAACAGCCTTATCGACTCTCCATATCTTTTGGGTTATATTTATTTTAGATGTTCAAGCTTCTACTCACGTAAAAGAGATCTATTCCATGTACGTTTCACCAGAACAAAGTTTGCTTATAATCTTTTCTTACATATGCAGGTCCTATGGTGATTATAATACTCACTTTAACCATATAGATTATAATGAACTGTCCCGTAATAAACTTCAAAGAAATTAATTAATAACATAATTCAATACTTTTCATAATATTTTTATATACTTTAAATTGTATTTATATGTATGTATATTTATATGTATATATATGTGTCAACTTTTTGCTTAATTTGGCCTAATGTTTTCTACTCTAATTTTGCGTTTCGTATTTGTGGAAACTTAATTGGTATATGTGTCTACTTTTTATTGTAAGTTGTATGTTATGTAACACTATTTGTTTCCCTAAAATAAATAAAAATAAAAAAGACTCCAATGTAAGGTGATTCTTCAGCTGGTATTAAAGGAAAAGTATATTTCTATATTAAACTTTACATACCGAAGATGGATAGCGTAGTAAAATATACTCAATGGATACTACGAATATTTCCGACATATGTAAATGCAAATAAAAATAAAGAATACATTTAGATATTATGAAAATTTTAAATATTTAAATAATCATATCTTACTAGAATGTAAATGCGAAAGTTTAGATCGGCATGTTTCATTTTTATTTGATTGGACAGCACCGTATCAAAAATATCAAAACATTACGTTCAGTCATTTTTATACAGAGCCCTTTAGTAGGTATATTAATTTTTAAACTTTTGAATAAATAAACTTTTACTTAGTCTCCATTATATAACATGAGATATATAATTCTAGTTTTCATAATTTGAACACAAGTTAATATGTTCCTTAACATTATAAACTTTTAAATTGTATACCGATTCGTATATTTTTTTGAAATTAAAACAAGATTTGATAAATGGTTTTAATTTAAAATCATATACTTTAGATGCGAAAACGACGGCCACTGGCTGTCGAGGGATGGCGAAATTGATTGGACAGATTATACAAACTGTTACGACGTGAAAGATCTAAGTGTAAGTAAAAAAATCTTTAATTTTATAATGTAATTTTAATAAAATTTGAGTAACATTTGAACGTAGAGGGATACTTATGATCAAACAATACTTTTACGAGTACGAGTATGTTGCTAATGACTCAATAACTTATATTAAATATTAGCTAAAAGCTTTAAGGCTGAGTTCATTTTGCGGTCTTTATCTATTTATACGCTTTTGCAAATAAAAACTTTTTAACAAAAAAATAAAAACCGACTTCAAACAAAAGCACTAAAAAGTAAGTAATAACTGATTGGTAGTTTTCATTTACTATACATACCTAATCAAATATTTTCGAAGTCGGTGTGCTTTGGCTAAGTAATTAAAGCCTACCTATTAAATACATACCTAATCAAATATTTTCGAAATCGGTGCCAGCCCATACAAAGCACACCGACTTCGAAAATATTTAATTAGGTATGTATAGTAAATGAAAACTACCAATCAGTTATTTCTTACTTTTTAGTGCTTTTGTTTGAAGTCGGTTTTTATTTTTTTGTTCAAAAGTTTTTGTGTCATAAATACAACAACTTTTCGAAATTTTAGCGGACTTATTTTTATTTTTGGTTCCCGACGTTTCGAATGCTTTACGGCAATCATGGTCACGGAAAAGAGTAAGGTTTTAGACGTCTCAAAGGTCTGAATATATGTACTTGTTACAAACAGTACTGTCGGCGACGGAAAACCTATCTTCGAGTAACGTGTGTATTAATATAGGGACAATGTCATTTTAGCGTATTATGAATAATTGTTGTAAATATGAAATCTCATTCTTATTAGATTTATTATGTTAAAATAAGTTCTAATTAGTGTAATAAGGTTAGTTTAGAGTATTTTTTGCTTATTTGAATCATATAAGACTATTTAACATTAATTTGAAAGGAATAGGTACGTAAGTAAAATGTTAGCATATAATTACGTAACTTGAAAATGAGATTTTTTGTTTCTTGCAATAGCATAATAGTTTATGTTTTAAATAATAGATTTTATTATAAAACTTATAATAAAACAAGAATTAGGTCGATAGGACTATCCGTTCAAAAGTTATAAGGGAAAATGTATAGTAAAAATGTAGCAACCTAGAAATTTAGATATTTTTGTTTTAAGACTTTTTTAATTAATTATTATATATTGAATATTATGTTTTAATATTGTATAATAGTATGTAAGGCATGTAAATAAATAAATATGTGTAAGGTGTTTTACTGAAAACATAAAATAAAAGGACTCTCAAGGTTTCGGTTTAGGGAAATTTTACTCGAAAAATGAGCTCAAAGTACGCGGCTCTCTGTAAGGTATTAACGGGCCAAATAAAAGGCGAGCCATTTCTCGATTCGAGTTAGTCGCAAGACAGCCACCGAAGAGGCAACAACTAAAAGGAAAAGGAAGAACCGAAACCAAGAGAGAAAAAAGGAAAAATTGTGTTTTATTTCATCGCCTCTAAGTATAGTCTCCTGTCAACGAAGAAACCCTAGTGGATCGGGACCCAAGCTACGCATTCAGGGGTGCGTGGTGGCGTACATTACCAGCGAACGGACATACTGCCGTGTACGCCAAGAACGTCTGGGAGATTGTCCCAGGTCGACCTCCGGGTACTAGACATACCCTGGTTCTGGTCGTCCGAAACAGTTGGTCCTTCGAGCCGGATCCCTGCTAGAAGAAGTTCAGAAGAAACAGAAGATTGCGTTCAAGATGCCGGTAACCAGGTCGCAGAAGGATGCCCCCTCACGTCCCGGGTCCCGTCCTTCAGATAGGGACGCGACAGATGGAACGTCGGGATCAGAAGGGGTCACGTCAGCGTCGGCGTCATCGGGAACTGCAACTACATCGAACACTTCTTCGGGTACCACGACCACGGAGGGCACCACAGTGACGGAGACTACGGTTACGACTGCAACTACGGCGGCGTCTATGGAAGGCAACAAAGAAGATGCTGCACAGAGGATGACCAGGAAGAGCCAAGAAGATGTACCTGGAAAGGATGTTCAAGGCTCCTCCAAGACCCTGAAACCGATGGGGGTCAGTCGTCGCGCCAGGTCCACGAAGACCACGAGTTCCTCGGCCAGAAGACGCGAGCTAGAAGCAAAGGAAGAGTTGGCACGCCTGGAGTTGAAGCAAGCACAGGCTGAAACTAAGCTAGCCCGTGTCAGATTGGAGATGGCACAGTGTGAAGAAGAGGACTCCGTGGATGAAGACCTGGAAGACAGAACAGCACAGGTGCAGAACTGGATCGAGACGTCTGTGCTGGAGGATGGCAACAAAGTTCAACCAGAGATGCGAGGTCCACACCCCTTGGAAGAGCCACAGAAGATGAAGCCTGAAGAGAACTCCTCAACGAGAGGAGCTACGATTGAAATTCAAGCACTGACGGCAGCATTGAAGGAAGCTCTTACCACGCGAGGACCAGCAGGACAGCCAACCTACATTCACGAGTTACCCTACTTCGACGGCAACAGCAGCGAGTGGATGGCCTTCAAGGTTGTCTATGAAGATACAGCACCGATGTTCAACAACGTCCAGAATATGGCTCGGCTAAGAAGAGCACTGAAGGGCAACGCAAGAGAAGCTATCAAGAGTCTGCTGTACTCCGAAGCCTCTCCGATGGAAGTGATTCAAGCCCTCAGAAGAAGATATGGAAGACCAGATGCACTGGTGCTGGCAGAGTTGGACAAGGTCAAAACGTTGCCGAAGATTTCTGAAAACCCAAGGGACATATGCCTCTTCGCGAGCCAGATCAGCAACAGCGTAGCGGCAATAAAAGGATTGAAGAAACCACAGTACCTGCATTCACCTGAGATGGTGAAACAAATTATTGAGAAGATGCCTACGATCCTCAAGTTCCGATGGTACGACTTCATTGAAACAACAGAAGAAGGCGAGTTCTCCGACCTAACACTGGTGTCCAAGTTCCTGAACAGAGAAGCAGACAAGTGTGGAGCCTATGCATCAACAGAAGAGAAGAGCGGGTTCAGACGGACTCATCGACAAGCAACGCATTCAACTAAGGAAAAGGACTTCAAAGAAAAGGTTTCAAGATCAGAGAAGACTTGCCCCATGTGTGAGGGTGAACACTTCCTCGTCGGGTGTCAGAAGTTCCTGAAGGCGTCTGTGCAAGATCGATGGGCAATAGTGAAGAAAAGCCGCGTTTGCTTCAAGTGTTTACAAGGGACACATCGGAAGGAGAGCTGCAAGAAGCCGTCGTGCAAGGAATGCAAGAGGTGGCATCATCATCTGCTGCACGTCGAGACAGAGAAAAGTTCCTCGGAAGAACAGAAGAACAAACCACAAGAAGTGGCGAGCATCATGGCATCGGTGAATGCGGTCAACAACGCAAGGGCATACCTGAAGATAATTCCGATAGAAATCTTCGGGTCAAAAGGATCAAAGAAGATATTGGCCCTCATGGATGAAGGGTCAACAGTGTCGCTGCTAGACCAGAAGGTAGCAGAAGAAATCGGCGCTCAAGGAAGAAAGGAGGAACTGGTCATCGAGACTGTTGGAGGCAGGCTGATAAGGAAGGAAGACTCTCAGATGCTGGACCTTACGGTGAAGGGGATTCATCAGAAGACCAAGAAGACCTTGAGAAGAGTCCGGACCATCGACGAGTTGAAGCTTGCACCGCAGTTCCTAGAAAAGAAAAGGATAGAAGAGTGTCAACACTTGAAGAAGATTGCTGACTCTCTATATTATAAGGGGGAGTCACCACAGCTGCTCATCGGTCAAGACAACTGGGAGCTAATCGTGACTCAAGAAGTAAGAAGAGGGAAACCAGGACAACCAGTCGCTTCAAGAACAGGACTTGGATGGGTGCTCCACGGGTCAGACACTGGAGGCGCGAAAGTGGTGCACTTCTTAAACACGTGTCTACATGTCAGCACGCCAGAAGAAGAGATGCATCAAGCCATCAAGGATCACTTCGCAATCGAAGCACTTGGAGTACTACCAAGAAGACCCACTACGGATTCAGAAGAAAGAGCACTCACCATCCTAGAGAAGACCTGCAGAAGACTAGAAGATGGTCGATTTGAAGCTGGACTTCTATGGAAAAATGAAGATGAACAGATGCCTGAAAGCTACACGTCTGCCAAGAACCGATTGTTCAACATTGAAAAGAAGATAGACAAAGACCCTCAGCTGAAGGCAGAATACAATAAGCAGATCCAGCATCTAATCGACAGCAAGTATGCAGAAGAAGCACCTGGTGGACAAGAAGATTCAAAGAAGACATGGTACCTCCCTCATTTCTCCGTGGTACATCCATTGAAGAAGAAAATAAGGATCGTCTTCGACGCTGCAGCCAAGTCTAAAGGGAGAAGCCTCAACGACGCTTTACTACCGGGACCAGACCTACTGCAATCGCTCTTCGGGGTATTACTGAGGTTCCGGCAAGGCCCGTTTGCAGTGGCAGCCGACATAAAGGAAATGTTCCTGCAAGTTCGCATCCGGCCAGAAGATAGAAACAGCTTGAAGTTCCTGTGGCGAGGGGATCGTCGTGACGTAGCACCGAAGGAGTACAGAATGACATCAGTCATCTTCGGCGCGACATCATCTCCTAGCACAGCGATCTACGTGAAGAACCGGAACGCGGCGGACTACAAGAAGCAGTACCCAGAGGCAGCAAAGGCAATCGAGCTGAACCATTACATGGATGACTACCTGCACAGCTTCCATTCAGAAGAGGACTTCAAGAGAATTACAGCGCAGGTGGACTTCATTCACAAAAAGGCGGGCTTCGAACTCCGAGGATGGGCGTCAAACCACTCCGACCTGCTGCAAGACGTGAAGACTGAGTCAGTTGAGAAGACAGAGGTGGACCTTGGTGAGAAGGAAGAGAAGACACTGGGACTACGCTGGTTTACAGAAAGGGACTCCATAGGCTTTAGGGCGAACCTTCGGAACACGCCAGATGAAGTGGCACAAGGACTCAAGGTACCTACGAAGAGAGAAGTCACCAGCGCCGTGATGTCGACCTTCGATCCACTAGGGCTAGCATCACCAATTCTCATCCAAGGCAAAAGGCTGCTCCAGAACATATGGCGAAGTGGCGTCGGTTGGGATGAAGAGATAGAAGAAAAGGAGTACGAGTCATGGAAGACTTACCTGGAGAAGATGAAGCTGCTCCAAGACCTTCAGATCCCGAGATGTCTGGCACCACGTCGCACCGAGGGGGAGCTGCACACGTTCACGGATGCAAGCGAAATGGCGTATGCAGCTACGGTATATTGGAGAACTGAAAAATCAAAATGGGACTTATGACGTCAGCTTAGTAGCAACAAAAGTAAGAGTCGCTCCGTTGAAGCCGGTGTCAATCCCGAGACTCGAGCTGCAAGCGGCCCTCCTAGGAAGCAGATTGGCACACTCGGTCGAGGAAGAAATGGATCTGAAAATAGAAAAGAAGACGTTTTGGACAGACTCCAGTATCGTGCTATCATGGATCAAGACGGACCCGAGAACCTTCAAGACATTCGTGGCTCATCGCTTGGCGGAGATAGAAGATCTCACAAAACCACAGGACTGGAGATGGGTACCGACGGCGCAGAACCCTGCAGATGATGCAACACGTGACGTACCAGAACACTTCGACTGCCAACACCGATGGTACACCGGACCAGGGTTTCTAAGAAGAGATGAAGTTCACTGGCCTGCGGCAAGAACATTCAAGAAAGAAACCACTGGCGAAGAAAAGGCAGCGGACATCGTAGCGACTGCAGGCAGCTCCTATCCATCACCAGATCCCGAAAAGTTCTCGTCGTGGAAAAGACTTTGGCGAGCTACAGCAAGAGTACTGCAGTTCATACAACTCTGCAGAAGAAAGGAAAAGGTCCACGCCAGCAAAGAAGATCCTACCTGGAAAACTACAAAAAGGAATAAGAAAATTGTTGAGAAGCGACATCTGTCTTCAAAAACGTCAGAAAGGAAATACATACCATTGGAAACAAGTCTACTAGAGCAAGCTGAAACGCTGTTGTTAAGAAGAAGTCAAGAGAAATGCTTCAAAGAGGACATCAGGTGCCTACAGCAAGGAAAACAATTAGAGGGCAGCAGCAAGTTGAAAAGGCTCGACGTAGTGCTAGAAGAAGGTCTCCTGCGACTGAAAGGAAGAATCGACGCGATACGAGGGGTTACCAGAGACTACAAACGACCCATCGTACTCGACAGCAAGGACAAGACAACACTTCTCATCATAGAAGAATTTCACTGCCGCTTCAATCACGGGAATCACGCGACCGTAATGAACGAAGTAAGACAACGCTTCTGGGTGCTAGGACTGAGGTCAGCGATCAAGACCATTCAACATCAATGCCAGTGGTGCAAAACAAGAAAGGCAAGACCTCAAGAACTACCAGTGGGCAACTTACCTGCTGAGAGGCTGATGCACGGAAACCCTCCATTTACGTGCACGGGAATAGATTACTTCGGCCCTATGACGATCACCGTAGCTAGACGCCATGAGAAGAGATGGGGTGCTCTATTCACATGCTTAACAACACGAGCTGTACACATTGAGCTCACTCCTTCACTCTCCACTGACAGCATGATCATGGCACTACGACGATTCGCCGCGAGAAGGGGAATGCCAAAGATAATCTACACCGACAATGGCACTAACTTCGTTGGCGCCAACAAAGAACTCAAAGAAGCACTAGACACCATGAAGCAAGAAGACCTTATCTCGGAAGCGGAGAAGATCGGCGTGCAGTGGAAGTTCATACCTCCTGGTGCACCAAACATGGGAGGTGCATGGGAGCGTCTGGTGCGATCCATTAAAACCGCACTGGACGCCACGCTCAACGAAAGGCAACCACGAGAGGAGGTACTTCATACCCTCCTGTTAGAGGCCGAGCACATAGTCAACTCTCGGCCCCTCACCCACCTCTCCGAGAACCCTGAAGAAGAAGCACTTACACCGAACCACTTTCTCATCGGGCGATCATGTGGCGCAGCAAGAATCGGCAGCTTCGAGGACAACGAGCTTGTGGGCAGACACACCTGGAAGGCTACGCAGCGACTTGCCGATCACTTCTGGCAACGTTGGCTGAGAGAGTATTTGCCCACTCTACTACCAAGGAAGACCAAAGGAAGAGTCAGCGCCACAGATTTGCAAGTCGGAGACATCGTACTGATCGTCGATCACAGCCTACCAAGATGCATCTGGCCACGCGGAAGAATCCTGCATGTGTATCCTGGACCAGACGGGCGGACCAGAGTCGTCGACGTCGAGACCAGAGGAGGTGTTCTACGGAGGCCCAGTTCAAGAGTGGTGCTGTTGGTGCCGGGAGCGTCGCCGAGTCCAGGAGTTGGTGCAAAGCACGAGGGGGAGAATGTCGGCGACGGAAAACCTATCTTCGAGTAACGTGTGTATTAATATAGGGACAATGTCATTTTAGCGTATTATGAATAATTGTTGTAAATATGAAATCTCATTCTTATTAGATTTATTATGTTAAAATAAGTTCTAATTAGTGTAATAAGGTTAGTTTAGAGTATTTTTTGCTTATTTGAATCATATAAGACTATTTAACATTAATTTGAAAGGAATAGGTACGTAAGTAAAATGTTAGCATATAATTACGTAACTTGAAAATGAGATTTTTTGTTTCTTGCAATAGCATAATAGTTTATGTTTTAAATAATAGATTTTATTATAAAACTTATAATAAAACAAGAATTAGGTCGATAGGACTATCCGTTCAAAAGTTATAAGGGAAAATGTATAGTAAAAATGTAGCAACCTAGAAATTTAGATATTTTTGTTTTAAGACTTTTTTAATTAATTATTATATATTGAATATTATGTTTTAATATTGTATAATAGTATGTAAGGCATGTAAATAAATAAATATGTGTAAGGTGTTTTACTGAAAACATAAAATAAAAGGACTCTCAAGGTTTCGGTTTAGGGAAATTTTACTCGAAAAATGAGCTCAAAGTACGCGGCTCTCTGTAAGGTATTAACGGGCCAAATAAAAGGCGAGCCATTTCTCGATTCGAGTTAGTCGCAAGACAGCCACCGAAGAGGCAACAACTAAAAGGAAAAGGAAGAACCGAAACCAAGAGAGAAAAAAGGAAAAATTGTGTTTTATTTCATCGCCTCTAAGTATAGTCTCCTGTCAACGAAGAAACCCTAGTGGATCGGGACCCAAGCTACGCATTCAGGGGTGCGTGGTGGCGTACATTACCAGCGAACGGACATACTGCCGTGTACGCCAAGAACGTCTGGGAGATTGTCCCAGGTCGACCTCCGGGTACTAGACAAGTACCTACCCACAAAATTATACAATGATTTACAAAAATCAAAACGTCGAGAAACCTAAAATCAAAATAAATTCGCAAAAAATCCGAAAATATAGTTTTATTTAAAAATGTCAAATATACGAGAAAATTAATAAAACACCTATTATGATTTTTTGTCTTTCTTACCTTCATATAGGTAAATGATATATCATGCTTATTACCCTCTTCAATAGACTTAAATTCCATATCTATGACATTATTCGCAAAACTAAGTTGATAAGTACGGTACGTAGGTACGTTACAATATTTTATTTTTTAATTTTAATTTTTGTTTTAGATCCAAGTTAACAACTTATCCACAACCGGATACGATATATGTATTATCACTATCTTGATGGCACTATTCGTTTCCTGTTACTACAAGTAAGTTGTTTTAAAATATAAAACTTAAGGATTTCAATTGGCATTAAATAAACAAGAGCATCAGTAGTGGATAACAGTAATGGAATAAATTGTTTGTATGTATTATTAAAAATATTATTTAAAAAATATTATTGAAAACTTATTTCCACTTTTACTTCAATTGATCTTTCTGTTAATTTTTACAACTAAGTGTTAAAACACTTGTTATTATTTCAGAATTCTGCGTTGTCGACGGATTCATATGCATATGAATCTTCTTGGTGCGTTTTTAGTCAATAATTTTATTTGGTGGAGATGGTATGGAACGAAAGAGAATAATACCGATACTCTAGTGCAAAATACGGTAATTATTATTATTTATAATAGGTATACATTTTTAATACCAGCGACTCACCCTCTCTTCGCTTCGGGCTCGTCCCTAGAAAAAAAATCCAGACTGTAATCTATCTCTGTGCCAAATTTTATCCGGATCTTTTCAGCCGTTCTGCTGGCTTATACAAGTGGCAAACGCTCCATATCAATTCTCTTTCGATAAACGCTAACGCCTTGACAATTTCGATAATAATTTGTTAAGCAAACGTACAAGGACTTATCGAACGCTCAGTCTATTCGATCGTTCGACAACAATCGAACGTAGTCATGGTTTTGTTTGTGAACATCATTTTGACATTGTGAAGTGCGCTAAAATTTAAACGTTTAAGACCAACACATAAGATTTTTTGAATTTCTTTATTAAAAGTTCACTAATTATAAGTATTTGCTACAATAACAATAAATACAATAATATATATTTGTCCGACAATAACAACGGCTACCATGGCAACAATTAGTCATAATAGCTTTTATTTAATTTACGCACATTCACCCCACAGTAATGAATATTCATTTTAATAAGTAATATATACATATATATATATATATATATATATATATATATATATATATATATATATATGTGTGTGTGTGTCACCCGCAGTTCATGCACATTCTATTGTATTTAATAATCTTACATCAGTTTTTATTACTTTATATACTAGATTAATAAAAGAACTTAATATAATTACTCCTAAACCAAATGCAAGAGTAACTAATGCTCAAAGTTTTAAATGTCAGTTCTCGAGAACGAATTTAGGTTTAAATGCCCCACTATGTAGAGCTGGAAAATGTTATAATAACTTACCAAAAAATGACTTTGATATATTTTATGACTCCTTACACTGCTATAAGGCTAAACTGAAAACCTACTTTAGGAACTTATCTCAATCAAAAAACCCCTAATACCTTTTACATAGTAAATTATTATCTTAGTTTTATATTTTTCCCCATTTCTTTTTTTATTATTTGATTTGGTCATGGTTTGTATAAACATTGTTTTCTATCTATGTATTTACGATTTATGTAATATCAAAATTTAGTTATATTTTTGTTAAAACTTTTTTTTTACAAGGATATTTTGTTATTTAAATGTTAGAGTTTTTTCATTTCTTATATTTTTTTTGTAACATAAGTGAGCAACAACAATAACATTTTTCTTAGTTTAACAATTATTTTATACATGTTAAGTTAGCCTGTAATTGTGATATACTTTGTAACACTTTCTTATGTATAACTATAATAAGTTAAAAAATGTATTCTTAGTATATAACGTAGGCTTCCTAATAAATAAATAAATAAATAAAAAAAATATATATTTATATACTTGACTATTATACTATATGATATTATACGATTGAGATCATTCGAACAATTATCGCCTACTGAAAATGATGTAAAAAGGACGATTTCAGTTTTGCAAAGCATTCTGTCTTTTTCCCACTCATCGAAATATCGGACTCCTCATCCTACCGGTGGTAGGACTCTGTCAAGCCGGAGGAGTCCGACTGGATGGGTACCACCCCCTTATCTATTTTTTTCACCAAGCAACAATGATTGCATATTGTGTTCCGGGTTGAAGGATAAGGTAACCAGCGCAATTACAGGAAAGATTCATATTATAAGATATTACACAATATAGCCTCACAGTGATAACGTACCGGCAGTTCTGCAGTTTTGTTACGTAAAATCTAAATGGATGAACCGTAGGTGTTATGGGCTACAGGTACCGCTTTCCATCAGGTGGACTATCTGCTCGTTTATCACTGAGTATCATAAAAAAAATCTATTATATCCTGGATTGAAACTACTAATTAAGTATTAAAGCATTGATATACAAAAACTCAAGATACACTATTCGCGTCTCAAAAGTGTCTTCAAAAAGAAGCGCACAATTCAAATTTATGCGCTTCATCACAATTATGTACATGTCGACGCCAATTTTTAAAGAAATGTTAATTGTTAGTAATTGTGTATCGTGTTTTTATATATCCATGGGTTCAAGAGTTCTTTTTTGATATAAAGGCGTTCTAAACAACAATATAATATAATTTCATTTAATATGATAAATTTTGTTAATTACTAACCTGCTCTATAGAAAAAAATGACAAATTGAATCAAGTTCCAACAATAATAATAATTTAATATTGTTCAAATACTTTTTTTTGTACATTATGGGGCACATAAAGAAGTGTATAATGTGGTGAAGGGACGTTCAACTCTCGCATGAGGTGCCATGTTTAAACAGTCCATACAATTAATTTCTGAACCAGTCTGAGTAATAGCGAAGTCTTACTGCTCTCTTTAATTAAAGTAAAAGAAAATAAGTCATACGTACATATTCGAACATGTCACGATATGATATAATAACTAGAATTATATTTTCAGCCCTGCCAATTTTTTGACGCGGTTTCTACGTATACGATGGTGTTGAACTACATGTGGATGGCCATTGAAGGAGTATACCTCTATCTCTCCTTCAGGATGGTAAGTATGTAAACAAAATATAACAGACGTTTGCATAAAGATAATTGAAAACATTCATATTAAAACAGATAATGTTATTTTTATGTTCTACCTACAGTTCGACCTCAATGAAAATATCACTCTAAGAGGATGGCATGCTCTTGGCTATGCAACAGCGTTATTTTTTGCACTTAACTATGGTGCTGTCAGATATGTCTCGGGAAATACAATGAGGTAAGTGTTCATTTTATTACCACAACATAAAAATATTCCACACATAATTTATATACTGTCGTGTTTTTCAATAGATCGCTGATAGAAAAAATATATGTAATATCAAAAGACCACTTCCTTCTTGCTTAATACGCAGTTCAGCAGGATTTTAGATTTTAAAATATATAATATAGTCTAGGTAATATGTATATCATATAAAGCTATATATATAATACTAAGGGCTCATCCACGCTTCGCTCGGGTTCGTCCTTAACAAACAAACAAACAAACAAACAAACAAACAAACAAACAAACAACAAATGAATGGAGTTACTTTCGCATTTTTAATATTAGTATGGATAATATAATTACGACTAGGAAATAAAACTAAATCATTTATAAAGTTGAAACAGACTGTGATAGGCTAAACAATTAAATAAATATGAAGCCAAACTCGCTTCACGAGAGGGGGTGAAGTACGGGGGATGAACAATAGAATGTCTTCGATTACTACTTGATATCAAATAGTGTATATGCTTGTTTATCATCATTGGGGTATAAATCCTAGAATAAAGAAAGCTAATACACGATATTTTAATCAAAAGGTGCAATTTATAAAATATAAAACTTTACTATAAAAATGTTTTTATTTATTATTATTATATATTAATAAAAATGGATAACAACAAAGTTAAGTTGCTGCCATTTGATTTTAGATTTTTTCAGGAATGTTCTTATATTATTTCGTGTGCTTTCCGAAGTAACCATTTCGTTCAATAGTTTATAATAGCTAAATGTATGATTTTTAGAGTGTTTTGAGAGCTCTAATATTTACTATGGTCCTTTTAATAGCAATTTATTATTGGTGATTGGTGTCTTATTATTGGTGGTGAAAATAACGTCGAACTGGAACAAACCCCTTGTACATTAACAAAAACCAAAAATATATCAACCAGTAAAATAACGATACAACAAGTGCAATAATATATGGGGCTCGTGCTCAGGTTAAGTCATTATAGTTAATACGTGTGTTTATAGGCTATTTTTTTGGTTTGATAAAATGTGTTTACTATCAGAAATCAAAATGACTTAAATTGTAATCGAAAAAAATACCGTAGTAATGCTTATTCGTTTAGTAAATATATAACCCAAAAATGTAAAGTATGTAAAAAGTATTGTGTGATGGTAGAATACCATTGTTATTCGAGTATAACTTCGATTTTTCATTTGTGTAACAAAAACAGTATCGAAATATAGGTACGCGAAGAATATACAAATTTTATCCACGTACGCTGTGTTTATTTTGTCCGTTATTTGATTTATAGCATTAGCAATGCCGCTTCACACATAAATAAAAACATATTAGTCTGATTTAGGGAATTTATTATTTTCATTACATCTGCCTGTCTGTTGCCTTGTAATAGATTATAAGTGATAATCTTATTTTAACTAAATTTTATTTTAAATAACAAAAGTTTAATAATATTTTCTTAGATTTACGCGAATATTTGCATTTTAAATAAAACTATCTTTTCGGATTTTTTCACGAATTTATTTTGATTTTTGGTTCCCGACGTTTCGAATGCTTTACAGCAATCATGGTCACGGGAGAGACTGAGGTGTTAGATGTCTCTAAGGTATTATATAGTTGTTACAGACAGCCTACCCACAATTAACAAAATGAATTCAAAAAATTCAAAAAATTGAAAAATGGCACTAAAGTACCTTACAATATTTTAACTTTTAACTTTAAACATTTTTATATAATTTTAATTAGCTTTATAATTGAGTATGGAATATTATTTATTTAATTTGATCAAGATGTTTCATCTTTGTTACGTAGAAGTACTAAGCCCAAACCTAATCTCAATAAACAACAGTGTTTAGCGTTGAAGAACTTACGCAGCAGGTCGGATATCACCATCCTACGCGCAGATAAGGGAAATGCTACCGTCGTGATGGATACATCAGATTACAATGGCAAAATTAAACAACTGTTGTCGGATGAAACTACTTATAAAAAGGTCAAAACAGACCCAACAACAACTGTGTTAAATAATACTAAAAAGCTGATTAAGAAACACTCCGATGCATTGAATCTTGATGTCAAAAATCTTGTTCCATCTTGTGCAAAGCCGCCTAAACTGTATGGACTTCCAAAGATACACAAACCTAATGCTCCGCTATGTCCAATTGTGAGTCAAATCGACACACCGACTTATAAATTGGCCCAACTAGTAGCGAAAGTACTCTCAACACTCAGAGGACAAACATCAGCGTTCACAAGGGACTCGTACCATTTTGTCAATGAGATAAAACACCTACAACTCATGGATAATAAAAGCCAGTATCTACATACTGGCTATTATATTTCAATCGCACAGTACAGTAATTGTTAAATCTACAAAACAATATAAGAAAAATAAGACTGATATGTACATATTTCGCTACCCGGTAGGTCATGATTTTAAATTCCGGTTCGAGCAAAATGACACATGAAGCCCTTTCGCGTTAATCTCTTTCCGGTTGCGCCGCATTGTTGTGCTATCGAACTACAGGAGAGATTGACTAAGTGAGAAACTTGATTTAATGATCACCTCCGTGACCGATTTTTTTTTCAAAAGGACATTGTTAGTTAGCATTATACCAGAGACTTTCGTGACAAATTTTAACATATAATAAGTAAGTGTATCCATACTAATATTATAAATGTGAAAGTGTGTTTGTTTGTCCTTCTTTCACGTCGAACGATTATCTCATTCCCACGGGAAAACACATTATAATACAACCTAAAAAAATATTTATGATCAGAATTACTTGAAACTTGGTATTAATGTTCTTCAATACAATTAAATAAATACGTGTCTTAGAATTTTTTTGTAATCCATCCCATTAGGGGGTAAAATAGGGGAAAACTTTTAGCGCGAGTTAGTTACGTCTAAATATAAACAGTTGTTAAGGATAAAATATTTTGTACTCAGGTGCTTGGCAGACCATAGTCAACTCTTCTGGGTTCTCTTCATGCCTGTCATGATCTCAATGTTTATTACGTTATGTAAGTATTTGAACTTTGTATTTTTATTTCTAAATATGTGTTATGAATAATTAGTTTACTACTTTCAAGGCAAACTTATTATTAATATTTATTTGATTCTCTCTTATATTATTAAATTATCCAGAATAAGGTGGCTAGTATAGAACTAGCAATAGCATTTCGATCACAGAAATATATTAACATATTTTTGTGATTTCGATAGTTGATACACATATAACTGAGGAATAAAACTTTTACCAGAGTATGGATGCATGGACTTTTAAACTATTCCCGAAATTAAATGTATTAGTTCATACATAAATGTATATAGATATTAGCTAGTTTTCTGTGGCTTCGCCATTTGTGTTTTTTCATGCCTTCCACAAACAAAAAATATGACGCTCTCTGCGCGTGCATAAAGCTTAGATCTCTAATAACACCTTATGATCTTCTCAATCAATGGTAACTACTTTTTCGTTGACTCCAAAAAAGGAAAGCGTTTCGGGTGTAGCTATTTTTGTGTCTGTTGCGCTATTTATGCGATATTTTTACTTTTTTGTTCCTTTTCAATGAATAGTTTATAACCAGAGGCAGGTCATATACTTATATTTAAAAAAAATGCAAAATTACATGACTTTAAAATCACTTTAAAATTAAATATAAAACTATATTTAATAATATAGTGTTATCACAATTGATGAACATATCGCGTAACATATGCAAACAAATATTTCATCAAATTGAGAACCTCTGCTCTTTTTATTTAGATAAAAGATATGTTAGACTTCACCTCTTCAATAAAAATATTATATTGATATGAATTTCTCTTTACTCTAGTGATGAATCACAGCGTCTTTTACTTTCCACACATCAAAATATTAATACACGAAGGATTTAATGCCACGTTCGTCTAGTGGCTAGCATATACGATTGCAGATCGTGAAGTCCTGGGTTGGAGTCCCGGGTCGGGCTAAATAAGTTACTGGATAAATATGTTACTAGATTTTTGAGCTACCAAAAACTCTGTAATGGTCAGTCCTGCGTCTTATGTCTCATCGATCTTGTCGAGTTGTCGTCCTACTAGAATAATAAAAAAATAGAAAGTGCACTGTGCTTACACTTACGCACTATTTTTAAGCGACATTGGTCGCTGTAACCGTAATCGATTAGGAGAACAATATTATTATGTTTTCAGGTTCAAGATGTGCAAATATAATAAATTTAAATAACAACTCTATAATCGTATTAAATATTACAAATATGGATTCTACACTTTATAAAGCTGTGATAGCCATTTGTAAACATGGTGAAAATCAAGGGAAGCGAGTCTAAAAGCGTGTTTTGTACCTTTGAAACTTCCTACTGATTAAAACTATCCTCCTAACATCACTTCTAAAGAAAAGCATATATTGTAGTTAGAAATGAGGTTTTTCGTTTGCCATATTTGAAGCTAAAAAACATATTAGAATATGTATCGATTTAAGCCGCTTTGACAAAACCAATCTACTTTGACAAAGTAGTTTTGATGACTAATTTGATTGTGTAAACGAGAATCAAAGTGCACTTTGACGTGAGCGTTCAATCACAATAGACTTGGAGCCGTGTTTATCATAGTAAACTTTGTGTCAAAGTTTTTTTCAAAGCAGACTTTAATCGTGTCAACGTTGCTTTAAAGGCAAATTATGACAAAAAAAACTCTTGTCAAAGTGAGTGTATGTTTTGTATGTCAAAAAATACATAGTCATTACAAAGGGATAAATATTTTACACTTTCAATATTTCAAAATGAATACTTTAATATATATTAAAAAACTCAAGATAAGTCGGAGCCGTGTGTATGAGAACCATAGGAATTTTAAAAACTTCCAATTATATTTTTCTTGTAAATGTGAATGAGACCCTAAGTTACATACAAACTCGTATATAAAGTTAAGGTTAAGTTCTATAGTTTTCCAGGCAAACCAGTCGAGATAGGGGTATAGTTTGATTTTATGAAAAGCTTCTTCTATACCTATATATAATAAAATTGTAATTAAGCCGAATCTGTACATTAAATATTTTTTGGAAAATCTTATTGAAATAGACATTATTATCGATATAGAGGCCGAATATAGATCCCGAATCTATAGCTTTTAGAATTTTTGTCTGTCTGTCTGTTACCACATCACAGAAAAACCACTGGAGGGATTTTGATGAATTTTGGTATGGTGATAGCTGGTTATCCGGGTCAATATATAGGATACTTTTTCCCTCGGGGAAATGTCACATTTCTGAGAAAAAATACATAAACAGCAATATAAGAGTATACTTATATGTAAAACCTAAGAATTTGGTTTTTGGTCATCTGAACGTGGGCGGAGCTGCGGGAAATGCTAGTAATAATTAAAATAAGTACAGTAGACAAACCGCAGTTTATTCGGGAATCACCCTCAACAAAGATGAGGTTTCACAATATGATTCTTATGAGACTTTCCTCGCGCGGAATCATAATGTTTTAGAAAGCAATCTTGCTACAGCATTTCGTTTTAATTTCATAATTTTCTATCATAGATACATACGAATATATGTCAAAATATTTTCTAATCATATGTTTAATAAGTACTACATTTTTGCAATGACAATTCATTGTTATTGGTAAAAATGTTTGCGCGTTTTATTTACTTAGATACCGTTATTTATTTTGCTTCCACTTTTTTTTTAACGTTGGGAAATGCATTTACGCACGAAGTGTGGGACTCACCGGCAAAGCCAGTACTACCCACTAAAACCCAACAAAGCCTTCCCCCATCTTTATGGGGCGTCGCAGGATCGCTTACGCATTCAACTATGACGCCCCGACGGCAGGTCTGCCGAAGCAGACCACAACAACCACGGGGTTGCTCCAAGATCCACTCTGCTATCAGAGAAGTACCAGGAGCAACCCGCATGGTACACCGCCCTCCGCAAAGGGCCACCTCCCACCGCCCACCGAAGTGAGCCACCTCCTTGTGCGTTTCTTGGCTTCGCGCCCGGCTGAATTGCCGGGCACTACTGAGCCCCCTCACCACGACAAGGTGAACGCACGTTGGGGGGGTCCTCTATACTTACAAGCCCGCAAGTAAGTACATAAAACAGTTTAAATAATGTAATCCATGATATTATGTAGGTAGATATACGACATATAGTACTTAGGTTAGATGATCACCAAAATCGCAAAAATTGCTAGCAAAAAGAGTTAAACAATCATGTTCGTGGATATATTCGACTGTTAATTTAAAATTAAAGCGTTGTTTCATTATATTTAGATTCTTCTTTCTCGCTTAAAATATTCTACTTAGTATGAATTATACTAAAATCAAAAAAAGATACTTTTTAGTTGTTTATTTTCTTCGTTTAGATGCTTTACTAATATATTCAGTTAATTAATTTTATATGTTTGTATAACATCTAGGGTTTATACGGCTCCGTTCTATTTTACGTCACAAATCGAGACGTGAATACTGTGATTTGGCAGTAACATGCTAACCGCAGTGTACAAACTGGAATACCGTAGACTGGTAAATATATATTTAACACATTTTAGAGATGCTATTACTGCTTAACCAAGCAAAGTTCTTTAAAAAATAGTTATATTAGTATTCCACATATAATATTTTAAGAAGCATTATTTCGAGTATGTCTGAAACGCTACAATATAAATTTTAAGAAATTTAAAGAGTTTTAAAGACAAATATATATTAAATGAAAATAAAAGTGAAATATATGAGGAAAATCAAGATAAGGGAGAATTTTAAAAAATAATACAAACAAACAAATATGTATAATGTTTTAAAATAAATTACATGCTTTTTGTTTACATGTCCTTAAAACTCGTGAGTTTATTTTTACGGCCCGGCTACGACCTCGCCGCTATCAGCGGCAGCTTAGCGCAGAGCGGCGAGCGGTAAGAACAAATTATATACTAATTTGTTGAATCACGCTACGATAGACGCCGCACTCGACGGCAACGTGAGCGATTTTTGCTGAGTGAACTGCTTCAGCGGCGCGCGGCGCGTGGCGCGGAGGGAACACACGTATGCGTGACCCAATGCGATGCCACGACATAGAGCGGCGCAGGCAGCGGTAACGTAGTGACAAACTGAGCGGTGACTCGTCAAACAAAATATTTTAGATGAATTTGTAGCGGAATTCTCAGAATCTTTTATTAAGGAAATTTTAAACCGACCTCCTATATGGATGTAAAAACATTTACAGCATAGGTTTAAAAATGGAATAAAAAGGTTGTGGGAAGAAATAAAAAAAAGTTTGCCAGAAAATGCACTTTACTTCGTGCACTCCTTCCCTCGAATTCAAAATATTTAAATATATAAATTGCTTTCGAGGCAAAGCAGAGTCACTTTAGATAATGCTAATTACTGAATACGTCCACCTCGATCGCAGTGGCTTAACGCTACCAGGCGTACGTGACATGGGCACCACTCCGCTCGCAGACCCCGCTGTCGCATGGCGCTAAGGCCAGAAGTCGTGGCCGGGACCAATTCCAATTAGAATTCCAGCTTGTTGTAGGTAGCATGTCTCGAGAGTAGATAAAAGGTCTAGAATTGAAAATATTCACAAGTGATTTATTTTCATTTCATTCAGCTCTCATCGGAAAATTATTTAAGAAAAATATTTTTAACTAATACTACTATCCATTGCTTCTTAAAATTGAACTTTTAAGATCGGTCAATATGAAGAAGTAAATTTTTGAAAAATGAATAAATTAAATGATTTTTTGTATGTATATAACTGAATTATTAAACTTCTCCATATTTGTCTATTTCAACTGTTCTCTTGCGTAGCAAGCCGTAATGCATAATAATATGCATAAAATAGTATGAAATCCTTTAGAAGTAGTAAGCATTTTTGCTGTGTGTTCTAATTGCGATTTACTTATATATGCAAAAAATGGGCAAACCTTAATAGCGTCTTTGTTCCAAATTTCTAATGTAGCCTAGCAATTAAGGAGTGTTCCAAGTTTCAATTTCAACACACAAATAAGGTATACAAAAAACCTGATAACAATCATTATTATAATATCTGCACCATAGTTATAATAAATATTTGTTTCTAATTCCAAAGTTTTTTTCTATAGTAATAGCTTCTTTTTAAAAGTCATCGGCTCGCAAATGACATAGTCTGCTGCAACGCACGCCACCACGTCTATCCGGAATTTGTGAATATATAACTTTATTGTCTGCACGGTGTGCACAAGCTAACCACTACGCATTTGAGGCAGTCATCTATACATAATACATACCTATAATAAAATTGTAACTAAACCGAATCTGTACATTAAATATTTTTTGGAAAATTTTATTGAAATAAACATTATTATCGATACAAAAGCCGAATCTAAAGTTTTTAGAATTTTTGTCTATCTGTCTGTCTGTCTGTTACCGCATCACATAAAAACCACTGGAGTGATTTTGGTAAAATTTGGTATGGTGATAGCTGGTTATTCGGGTCATCATATAGGATACTTTTTACCGCGCCAAAGTGTCTCATTTCTGAGAAAAAATACAAAAACTGAAATATAAGAGTATACTAATATGAATACCTAAGAATTTGGTTTTTGGTCATCTGAATGCGGGCGAAGCCGCAGGCAATGCTAATAAATAATATACTAAATTTATAATTGAAATTAATGTATAGATACGATGGTTTTTATCTATTGAGCACTTTCGCGTTTTATGACTAAATTCCTAAAGTAAGTACTATCCTCAATAAATCACACTCATTAGCATAATGCAAGCGAACACTAGCATTGCCTTCAATCTACGCAGAATCATCTTGGACAAAACAAATTGGTGGTAATAATTAATGAACTAATATGTAAATAGTATTTTTTATCATTTACACACCTTTTAGCAATACAAGTATATTTTACAAGTTTAGAGCATGATTTGTGTATGTGTGTTTGTTCTATAGATATAATTTAAAAAAATGTTCTGTTGTTGTAATAATGATTCAAATAAAGAAGCTTCCCTTTTTTGTATTATAAAAAATTAAGTAACATTGTTATACCAAAAATATGAATGAATTATTAAAGTATGAATTAAAAGTTATTATCTAAGATCCCGATCAACTTGGTGGACCCACAATTAAAAATAGCCTGGAGCAAATTTTTGGTGCCAACCCACCTGTGTCGTGTTTGTTAATATGTTTTATGCTTTAAAAGATATATTTCGCCTAGAGAAAGAGTCCATCACATAGATCCGGATATATTATGAAAGATTAAAGTTGCGCTTATAAGAATAATTTCATGACGTCATACGACCTGAACGGCCCAAAAGGGCTAGCAGGATAAGATAGGGTCAGCGGCCTCAGAAAGATATTTTGAAAATAACTTTTTTGGTAACGTTGACAAGGTACATGACAATTTACCATTGACACTATTTGAGCATCTGATTTCGCTGCGTTCTGGAGATAGGTAATTGATCGAATAGACGCTAAAGCGGGTATTTTTCTAAGCTGTTTTTTTTTTTCTAAAAGTATTGTGGGTACACTACTGAAACTGAAACTAATCATTAGAACCTTTAAATTAATTTCTCAGTCATTTATTGATAGATTTAATAAGAAAGTATTAGATTTAAAAAAAATCACAGTTTGTTAGTTTGATCTATATTATTCCATTGTGTTAAATATGATATTAGCAACATCATGAAACTTCTCCATTGCCATTATCTATAACACTACTGGTCACGAGCTTGATCCTAGTAAATAGATATTTTGATCAGAAGATACAGCTCCAATAATGTATTTTTAACTTGAATAATAGTCAGTTGGATGGAGTATCGTGTCTCTAGTTTTCTGAGTATTATTTATGAACAAAATAGCTTCAAGATAAAAGTGTATTGTAAACGTGAATTTATGACAATTAATGAATACTTACTTATTCTTTACTCTTTCAGGGTCAACCATTAGGGACCACATCATGAACAACGTTGAACATGATCATATAGTTTAATTTTTGGGAAAAAGACTTGCTAGAATGACAATGTAAAGATCAATTGGAAAGACATAACATATTAGAGATGGAAAGGGCTAAGTTTTCCCACAAATTATCATATCTGATTCTGGATCTACGCCGATCTATTAATTACTAGACCAATCGGAATCCGTTTAAAAAATAAAAAACCAAGAAAAAGTTCAAAACCGAGTTTTTTGCAAATATCTCGAAAAGTTTAAGGTTATTCTAACAAGTGTTATTTATAACAGTCTTAATGGGGCGTCGCACGATCGCTTACGCATTCAACTACGACGCCCCGACGGCAGGTCTGCCTAAGCACACCACAACAACCACGGGGTTGCTCCAAGGTCCACTCTGCTATCAGAGAAGTACCAGGAGCATCCCGCATGGTACACCGCCCTCCGAAGATGGCCGCCTCCCACCGCCCACCGAAGCGGGCCACCTCCCTGTGCGTTTCTTGGCTTCGCGCCCAGCTGTATTGCCCCCCCACCACGACAAGGTAAACGCACGTTGGGGGGGATGCTTTGCATCCCCTGATATCTCGGGAGTAGCTGGGCATCGGGGGCATTTTACGAATTTCTATTCCTTATATACCTGCTAACATTTTAAAATCATAAAACTTCAAGTTTTCAATATTTTGTTGCAAAACCAGATTCCGATTGGACTAAATGCCCATTCATATATTGGGATTTTAGATTAATAATATATAATTATAAATTTACTATTGTTGCCCCTAAGGCCGTAGATATTTAATTATATTAAAACAAGTAGTTATTATCTTTATATACACTTTAAGTAGTTTAGCACCAATACTGAAAAGATATTATTGTACTAGGTAAGCAAAATATTATGTTACATATATTACTATTGCATTAGTAATATAACTTCTGGATAATACTTAAGACATTATTATTAATTATAAAAAAAAATACGTAGTAGTAGCAAAGTAGTTGTTAGTGATTCCATTTTCTCCGATAAAAATATCTTAATATTATATTATTAATAATATCAGTAGATGTCACAATGAAAGCAATGTGACAGTTAGTTTAAGATATGATATACGACGATCGATACATATGTACAAACTGGCTATGTAATAATTGCAAACTGATGCTAATCTTGATGATCAATAAATACCTACATTAAAGCAAGCAAAATCATTGTTTTATTTAAAATCCTATTTTTAAATTGATACCGATTTTTTATTTTCTTATTAAATAACAAACTGTTATCATACATAAATTTTGTACTATATTTAACTATAGATACATTACAAAAGATACTTACATAATTTGATTGTAGATGTACAGGTTTTAAAGCAGTTATTATGTTAGTAGGTACGTATGTACTCGTATACACCTAACTGCTAAATACCGGTCATCGCCTATCACTTTTTTTTTTAAATAACTGGAGGACATCGAAGGCAACTGAACATTTAGTGAATCTACTATTAAATAATATGGAAAATTTCATAGCGAATCACCCCCGCTTCGCTCTGGTTCGTTACTGTATCATGTATGTATGTTTGAACGGTAAGTATAGAATAGACTATATATATGTACAATGTACATACATAGGTATAGAAAAGTATATAAGTATTATAAAAAATAAAAAAAATATCCCTTACTTGAGAAATAACTGATTCAGTACTTTTTACGTGATACGCTCACATCGATTTAACTAAGTTAATTTTATTATAGGTATAGATAAGAATACATATTGCGAGTGTACCTTAGGAGATATACATATACTATTGTAAAACTTTTCTGTAGGCCTTTCCAAGACCAACAATTTTTTAGTATATTGTTTTGTCTTAAGGTTCAGCCAGCGGAAGGTTTCGGGAAAGGACTCGAATAAACCAGTTATTGAACTTTCACGTGGGATAGAAACATTTTCTTGAAGTAAAAGGTATCCTAAATGTTGACTCGAGTAATAAATTATCACTTCACCAAATTTCGTTGAAGTGGGTTTATGACTTTTCGCGTGAAACGCGCCCACAAAAACAAACAAACAGAAATACAGGTAAACTGACAAAAAATTTACTAACTATTGTTTTGGAGTCTATATTGTGTACATAATACGATACAAACAAACAAAAACAAATCTATCCCACGAGAACCGTACATTTTCCCGGGATAAAAAGTTACCTATTTGTTATTCTGATGTATGAACTATATTATTGTAAAGTTTCATTAAAATCCAATCAGTAGTTTCTGTGTACGAAGCTTTATAAGTTACTATAGCTTTTTAGCTATCCCACGAGAACTCTTTAATTTTTCGGGATGAAAAGTATTTTAAACGTTGACTGGGGATACAAGGTACCATGCAAAATTTCATTTAAATAGTTCAACAGTTTCGGATATTAGCCTGTACAAACAAACAGACAGAGAAACTAAAAAAATTGAAAAAATCTGGACTTGTTCTATTTATCTTCTTACATCCCCCTGACTCGGTTTTTAGATTTTTTTCTATGTACAGACTTCTACAGTTTTATTTTAGTATAGATATTATTGGCAACTTATTTGATATTCGATATACTCGTAATGCTTATTAAAATTATTTTTAAAACATTTTCACTCATTTCATTCATTCTTAATTTTACGATAGCGTTGAAGTATTGTTCGCTGACTATTTTTTATATGAATAATTGAATCTATTATGATATGTATTTAATGTTTCGTTTTAATGAAACACCTTTTTATGATGATTAAGGATAATCAGATATTTTGACTGTCCCAACGTTAGTTTTAAGTTAAACGACTGATTTATTACATCGTATGTATGGAGTCCTGTTTCGTGTAAGGACATTTTGAAAGAGTTCAATGACACTTAAATTTTTAATAAATAATAATTAACTCTGCAATAAAATAAAATGTTTTATTAGTTACATAATAGAACAAAGTGTTACTTAATAATTTGTTTCATTTATTTAATAAATAAAAGAATTATTATAACTGTCTATTTGTTAAGGTTTTTAATAAATAATAATTAACTCTGCAATAAAGTAAAATGTTTTATTAGTTACATAATAGAACAAAGTGTTACTTAATAATTTGTTTCATTTATTCAATAAATAAAAGAATTATTATAACTGTTTATTTGTTAAGGTGGCCTTCCGTGCTCGACCCACTTTACTTTTTCTTTACTAAGCAAACATCTTAAGAACGATTGCACAGATTTGGTTAATTTTGATTTTAAAATGTTCATAATAGTTCGAATAAGGCTTATAGATAAAATAATTTGAAAAAATTGCCCGAAAAAAATGATGAATAAATATGAATGTATAAATGTTTTAATATGTTTTACTATAGGATATGTATACAACTTCCCTATTTGAATCGGATATTATTAAATTTTTCATTGGTTTTAGTTTTTTTTCGTGGGACCCTACTTTTTTTAAATAAAAGTAGCCTAAGTTATTTCTTATTACATCAGCTATCTGCCAGTTAAAGTCCCGTCATAATCGGTCCAGCCATTTCAGAGATTAGCCGGAACAAACAGACAGACAGAGCGACAGACAATAATTGTAAAAATGCTGTTTTGGTATACGTACAGTGTATACATCCATATGCATGTAGTAAAAAGCTGTTATTTTGACATTACAAACAGACACTTCATTTTTATTTTGTCTGTATAGATAGTTGAATATTATATATTGTTTATTGCATTATGTTATTTTATTATAAGATACAAGTATGTATATTATACTTTTATAATAATGTTAAAAATTATATATTATTTATTTATGTATATTCCAACACACATTTTCATAACTTCCTCTTACTCTTCAATGCAGGGAAGAATATAGGTAACGAAAATGATATAAACTGGCCTAGATGTAGGTACATATTTTTATTCGTATTTTTATACATATAAAATATACATTATGTATTCGAGTTTCAGTGTGTTGATGGTTATGTCTGCAGCTATTGAGTTTGTCCTTAATTATGTTTTTGTTTTTCTCGCGCTAAAACTACAAAAAAACTCTAAAAAGTGGGTTTCATAAAAAGTTTCATACAAACTTTTATCACCTATTTCTCCCCTTGGGGGTTGAATTTCGAAAAATGCTTCCTTAGTGCGAAATTTCAATTATCTAGCCTTAACGGTTTGGCCTGTGCGTTGTTACATCAGTCAATCACGTTTGCCTTTTGTTTATATAGATTAGGTTCTTTGCAACACCTTCGTTCTGTACTTCCAATTTCCACCAAAATTATGTTAGCAAGTTCCCTTCTCGGACCATCTAAATAAATTTGAGCTACTCCAAAATCAGTTCATATTTAATTTGCGTAAATATGACAACATTTCTGAATTTCGAACAAAACTCAAGTCGCTCCCTATCCGCTTTCTATTCTTAACTATGTTTTGTTTTAATCAACATCTCAGCGTTTTCTAAAGGAGATGTTTGAATTTCAGATTCAGGATCTTCAGAGAATTTAATGCTAAGAATACCTGTACATTTAAGTAAAATCTCCGAGCACTCTATTCTGTACAAGCAACGAAACTCTGGAATAGTCTGCCTACCTATTCATATAAAACGTTCGAAATGATTAAAAATATTTAATTTAACAAATATTATCGAACGGTTGTTTTGCTCTTACTTTATCACATTAACGAAACAACATATTATGAAAACTAAACAAAATTTAGAGTCGTTCTATTCAAATAAATTAAAACATTAAGTTCTATTTTATTGGTTAGTTGGACTTCTAATATAACATAAACATATTTTCATAATATTTTCATCTATACATATAATAAAATTGTAACTGAGCCGAATCTGTACATTAAATATTTTTTGGGAAATCTTATTTAAATAAACATTATTATCAATAGAGGCCGAATCTATAGTTTTTAGAATTTTTGTCTGCCTGTCTGTTACCGCATCACAGAAAAACCACTGGAGGGATTTTGATGAAATTTGGTATGGTGATAGCTGGTTATCCGGGTCAATATATAGGATACTTTTTACCGCGGGAAAATGTCTGATTTCTGAGAAAAAATACAAAAACTGCAATGTAAGAGTATACTAATATGTAAAACCTAAGAATTTGGTTTTTGGTCATCAGAACGCGGGCGAGCCGCGGGCAATGCTAGTGATATAATAATAAAATATAAAAAACAAGGTCCTATGGAAACATGTTAGAAGTGGAACTTGATTGAATATTTATATTTCAAATCTGTAAGATTAATAAATTAATAATAAAAGATAGAAAATGAGGTAAAAAGTGATATACGTAGGTATGTGGATATTTAAAGTATTTAGGAATAATATTCAAAGGATTCACATAAGTAAAATAAACACAAAATATAAGTTGTATTTTTCTAATTTAATTTCGAATAAATTAGAATAAAATTAGGATTTTAAAATATTTCTTACAATCGAAATATCATGGTGTCTTATTTACTTTATATACAATGATATGTATATATATTTATTTATATTTATATATACATACTGCTGCCCGTGATGCATGAGTGATGCAAGCGTCACGGCCATGACAGTTTTTCGTGACGATTTCTCATGGCGCGGACTTGAAATTTTATTCTCATGCGCGCAAGGAAGTTTCACTTCAAAAATAAAAAATCAAAACAAATATACAGATGTATAGTTAGTTATTATTTAACAGACTTCACATTTTGTCATTTTCATATTGTTTAATCAGATCTGCTACTCTCATACCTGCTCCTCAAATACTCGTAGAAGTCAAAAATAAAATAATATCAAGTACTGTTAATAATAAAGAAAGTTCGTTTTGTATTTCACGTTACGCTTACATTTTACAACAATTATAATTCATAACTAACTACAACTACTATACTACATAAGTATATATTAATATATCGTTCATCACAGAAATTTACACTTTTGTACGATTGCTTTAGAACGTATAGATACTCAAGCGTACGCCGATATGAGAGTCCAATCCTCACTGCACTGTCTATGCTTCATAATTCTGACACTAAGAAAAATGACTTATATGCTTACACTTTGCCTAAAATGCAACCTCTCTATCAAAAATAATGCCCATTTCCACAAGTATCGCAAATGTTATAAATATTAAATATAAGAACATCAACACTACACCAAGACTTTTCCTAAGCTTAAATTTTCCTATAAATAAAGCTATCCATAGTAGTAATGTTGCGACCAACAACGAACCGACTACGAAGTCAATGCCAGCTGAATTTATTTTCACTGCTGTGTCAGATCCCTCGGCTAAAAGCATTAACGTTTTGATAAGCCAAGGTAAGCCCAGTGCGAACAATATTGCCAAGGAGTTAGCGCCTAGCGCGTTGGACACACCGATACCACCCTCGCCTGAAACAAAAGGGTAATGTAAAATAAAAATACTTTAACACAAATCACTTATTATAAAACATAAAAAGAATGTTAAAATAAAACTAGGTAGTAAAATAGAAGGTGTTTTACTTAAAAAGTACACTTTTTAAGTAATTACTTCATACGTATGAATACTCGAAATAAATCAAATTTCTTGATATATTATAAATAGTATAAAAAAGTCGCTTTTGCCTCAGTTTGCTTCTTAGTTTTCTTCTTCTAAGAACCTCAACGAATTTTGTAACGGTTTTCACTTATAGAAAAAGCAATAAACGAGGAAGGTTTATGTATATTATTTATAAATATTTTGTACAAAATAGCTGTACTATGAAGGGGATTTTATCAAAAAAACTTTCTTAGATTTACGCCATGTGACCATGGTTAATGTAAAGCACTCAAAACGACCGGAACCAAAAGTTAAAATAAAAGATAGTTTTATTTAAAATGTCAAAAAAAATTGTGTTCGTACGCTAACGTGGCTAATACTAGCTTACGCATAAGAAATACTCAATACAATGTACTAGAAAATTATAGGTCTTTAAATGGCCAACAGAAAAGTTCGCAAAAGCTGGTGTGTATCTCCTAAGTTACAGTCACGATAATTATTTTTATCTATTCACTAGACAAGATTAGCAAGTTATCTCCGCTTGGTGCATCCCTGGATACTTTTCACATTTATAAGACCATATACAAGCAGGGTCACTTTTGGCAACTTTTTTTTTCATCCAAATCCATTCACACATATTTTTAGCGTGAAGGAGTTAGAAATATACACACATATTTTTAATATAGTGTGATACAGATAGGATCTCGGATCGATAGAGGATGTACAGAACAGAAACAATAGAGGAAGGCTCTCTAAATGATTTTGTTAGTATCTCATTTAATGTGCTGCTTAATTTAATTACCTACATAATCAAAATATAATTTGTAAATATCGATTTTACATGCGAGTATACTACAGCCAACTTTTAGATGTAAACAATAAGGAAAGTGGACTTACACATAATACTCTGGAATAGCTTTTGCTAATAAAAATTAAAAATGTTTAGAAATGTCATATTTAAGCGTTATATCCCGTGATCAGAATATATGTAATTTTCATATAAAGCAATATCGATTGTAGAAATGAATGTGTCTTGGAGGCAGATGCAAATTGAGATTTCGTTAAATCTACAGATTGGTTCAGTATTAAGTATTAGTATATATCAGTAATTATATGTATTGCATTATCTTAGTCAATTCTATTAGAAACTGCAAACTATAGTACACACCGACGATTGTGTACACACCATTAGCCAAATTATGACCTAAGTACTTGGTAGTAGTGATTTAGTACTTGGCAAACATAATATTAATTTAAACTTAATTAAAATAATGATAGTTCAATAAGCCTCAGTACATATTCCTAGTTACAAACAATTCGGAATTCGAATATGTTGCTATTACGAAAGCTCGGGCTTAAGCCAGAAATCTAAATTGCACTGGCAGAACCACTGAGTCAAGCGCAAATGCTATTACCCTAACACAGCTTAAAGGAGATAAATGTAATAACTAAATATAATGTTACAAAACAACAAGGCTTTATTAATATGTAAATGATGCTTTTTGTGTCTTGCGAATGCTAAAATAGGCGTCAAGTAGGTACACTGTGGTTAAGCTGTGAAATTTTAATGCTACTGGAAAAGTGTTCAAATATGAAAAAACTAGCGAAATCTCCTGTAGTAAAAAGTAGCCTTGTCAGTCTCCAGCCCTCCAACTATTTCCACACGAAAAATCGCGGCAATCCATCACTCCGTTTTGATGTTAAATAAAGACAAACAAACACACTTTCACATTTATAATATTAGTATGGATAATTAATATTTAAAGTAAGAAGTTTCGTAGCTTTTTCTTTTGAATTGATGACAAATTAAGAATAACATATACCTACATATTTTGTTCAACGCTTAATAATCTATTCTGTGAAACTATTGCTTCTTAAGTAAAAAATGATTAATTAGGGTTAATTTCTTTAGTCTATACATATAATAAAATTGTAACTAAGCCGAATCTGTACATTAAATATTTTTTTTGAAAATCTTATTGAAATAGACATTATTTATCGATATTCGACACGGAGGCCGAATCTATAGTTTTTAGAATTTTTGTCTGTCTGTCTGTTACCGCATCACAGAAAAACCACGGGAGGGATTTTGTTGAAATTTTGTATGAGGATAACTGGTTATCCAGGTCAACATATAGGATACTTTTTACTGTAGGAAAATATCTCATGTCTGAGAAACCTATACTAAACGTTATAACGCAAGTAGGGACAAACCCGAGCGGAGCGAGAGTGAGTCGCTAGTATTATCTGTAAAGCACTTGTTTCATTAACTCACTAAAACAATTCTTTTATAATAGTGTCGCTATTGTAAGAACAGTAGCATAAGGAAAATCAAAGCGAAACAGTGAAGCGTCGACAGAAATAATCAATATAATCAATAATTATCATTATTTATGAAAACGTTATCGCTGGCAATATCTTAGCAAATCAGCTTTTAAAGATTACAAAAATATAATATTCGCTAAGCAAACCAGAGGTATAAAATTTGCGTAATGATACACTATATTAATACAAGTTCACTTAGTACGAGTGAATTAGATTTGTATAAATGATTTTTTGTATTTGATAAATGAATAAATAAATAAAAAATACAAACAAAAAAAAATACAAACAATCAATGAATCGTTAATCACCTAAAATAGTTACCGTAGATAAGGCCCAGACGTTTGTCAATACATTATTATTAGAAAATAAAAATAATACGACCGATTTGATTATCAAACAACAATTATCTATTATTATTCGCAAAATAGAATCTAAAATTGTTGTTAGCATATAACATAACAACATAGGAATTATTCATAATAGCGCTACGACTAACTTAAACTTGAATATCTTAAGGGGCCTCTACGTATTAGACAGTTAGTACAGTGTACGTTGCACACCCAAAACATGTGCAGAAGTCGATCTCATCGCTAAAATTGCGATTTCTTCCAGGCCACCAGATGAAAGGTGTGTAAATTGTAAATAGAGTTATACAACAAGTAGAATATATATATATATATATATATATATATATATATATATATATATATATATATATATATATATATATATGCATATATATATATGTATATATATATAATTAAAATAAATAAACTTTATATGTAAATATTCGCTTGCTGTATAAGAAGTTAGAATTTAAGCTCACCTCTTCTGGACATGATGAATATTGAGCACGCTTCGGGTAAACAGCCACCAAAAGCTAGGAATGTCATTCCCATAACAGACTCAGGAATGAAAAAAGTGTGACCTGAAATAAAACGAAATATTTATTATTTTTTTTAAATTACATACATATGTATCAAAGTAAATACAACAAATGTACTACTAAAATAGATGGTAAGATTTCCGGTGCTTTAATATTTAAACTTATATATTAACTAGGTTGATTCCGCATACAAACTTTCATCCCCATTTCCACCCCTTTAAGGGATGATCTTCGGGATAAAAAGTATTCCATGTCCTTCCCAGGGTCTCGAACTATCTTCTTACCAAATTTCATCTTAATCGGTTTAGTAGATCCAGAGATTACCCCCTACAATATCACAAACTCACAATTCACAATCTTTACATCTTTATATTATTAGTATAGATTAATGTAAACATTAAAACTACTCTTTTTTATAAAACTCAAATCTTAAATTTAAATATTTTTATTGTTTAGAACTTAATGTTGATGTTACAGCGTATACCTACTGTTAGAATAATAAAACATACTTATCATAGATAAATCGATGCTCTAAAAATTATGCAATACTAGCAAATTACTCTCGCTTCGCTCGGGTTCGTCCCTTGTGAAAAAAAAAACAAATCTGTCCCACGTGAACCGAAAATTTTTCTGGGATAAAAAGCGTGATTGAGTAGCAAACATTCACCCAAACATCCTCGCTTCGCTTCCAGTTCGTCCCAGCCATAAACAAATCTACCCCACGTACATTTTTCCGGGATAAAAAGTAACCTAAAGTGCCAAATTTCATCCAGATCCTTTCAGTTGTTCTGGCTTGATACAGTAACAAACATCCATCCAATCAACCTCACAAACTTTCACATTTATAATATTGTATTCAGCCCTTTTTAACGTCCCACTGCTGGGCACGGGCCTCCCTTCAGTACGGGATTGGCGGACTTCACGTGTCTTTTTGAAAACTTGCTAAGTTTTCTCAGACATGCAGCTTTCCTCACAATGTTTTCCTTCGCCGTTTAGACAAGTGGTTATCATGTGGGAAATGATTCGCACATAAAAATATCAGAGGTGCAAGACCCGGGATTTGAACCCGCTTCACTCGGTTTCCCAAGCGAGCGCGTTACCACTGGGCTACCACTGTCTAAAAAATTTATAATATTAGCATGGATTAATGGGATAAAAGATTCATAAGAGTACATTTTTTACTGTCATTCGTTATTGAATATCTAGGTCATTGTCATCAGTCAACACCCCACACGAGTGTTTGCACATCGCTCAGCCACTGCATTTATTTATTCAAATAATCTAATCATGCAGCTAAATAAACAAGCGTTTACATTTACTAATAACTTTTTTATGTATGCTTATAAACTACGTCAAAATTAAATTTTAATAAGATTTAATTTCAGAGAATAAAGTTGTGGTCAAAGTACTCGTATGTCACAAAAATATATAAATATTACTATATAATATTATTAGTAAATAATATTAGTAAATAATATTATATGGATAAAAATAGTATTAATAATGTAAACTAATCAATTTGTTTGATCTAAAACATATTTTTCTACTTTTAATTTTATTATTCTAATATAACTAAATAAAGTAAAAATAAAAAAATAAAGTAATGATTAAACAATTATTAATATAGAATAACATGTAGTAGCTAGTATGTATGGCTTCATATCCGGAAATCCTGAATTCGAGTCCTGGGTCGGGCCAAGTTTAATTATTGAACCTTTTTGTTAAAACTGTCCCAGTTACTGCTCAGAAAAGTTGGGAAGTTGGCGGTATATGCCTCGAAGAGACGGTAAAGAAGTCATGTCGATAATTGTCCCATCGGAACTTGAAAGTGAAAGGAATAGAGAGTGCATGCACATGCGCTGTATGTGTATACATATATCTTGGCGCCGTTGCCGTATTCAGACAGGAGGACATCAACATAAAATAACCGAGAAGTACTTCAATAAATTTAATTTAAAATAGTCGGTACTATATATTTTTAAATAAAGATTTTACAAGAAACCTACTAAATGTTAAAACCAATTTCGTGATCTACGTCAACCTAATTAGTTACTTAGCAATAAAAAAACAAGATCATCACGAGAAAAACAGTTACACGCAGCCTTGCTGTGATAAGATTATTTTTATTTATTTATTTGCTTAAATAGTTTATTATCGCCTTAAAGGAAGGAAAATGAGAACATAGTAATATTTTAATCGCCTGAATTTAAGTCCAGGAACAATCAAAAGAGTTATTTTTCTGCCAAAAAAATTGTGAAGAGAACAGGTAAAATCGTTAGCCCTACGAGTCACATCTTCCCAGTCATTTCAGAATATCGACTGTCACCCGCCTGACTATATAAGCGAAAAAGTTGTGAACTCACTCTTATTCGTAATCACTTACACTTATACATAATTCAATATACCTTAAGCTAATCGCCTTAGAGCACATATTTATTACTGAACTAGCATTGCTCGCAGCTTCGCCCGCGTTCAGATGACCAAAAAGCAAATTCTTACATTTTTACATATTGGTATACTCTTACAATTCAGTTTTTGTATTTTTTCTCAGAAATGAGATATTTTCCCGCGATAAAAAGTATCCTATATGTTGACCCGGATAACCAGCTATCACCATATCAAATTTCATCAAAATCCCTCCAGTGGTTTTTCCGTGATGCGGTAACAGACAGACAGACAGACAGACAGACAGACAGACAGACAGACAGACAGACAGACAGACAGACAGACAGACAGACAGACAGACAGACAGAACAGACAGACAGACAGACAGACAGACAGACAGACAGACAGACAGACAGACAGACAGACAGACAGACAGACAGACAGACAGACAGACAGACAGACAGACAGACAGACAGACAGACAGACAGACAGACAGACAGACAGACAGACAGACAGACAGACAGACAGACAGACAGACAGACAGACAGACAGACAGACAGACAGACAGACAGACAGACAGACAGACAGACAGACAGACAGACAGACAGACAGACAGACAGACAGACAGACAGACAGACAGACAGACAGACAGACAGACAGACAGACAGACAGACAGACAGACAGACAGACAGACAGACAGACAGACAGACAGAGACAGACAGACAGACAGACAGACAGACAGACAGACAGACAGACAGACAGACAGACAGACAGACAGACAGACAGACAGACAGACAGACAGACAGACAGACAGACAGACAGACAGACAGACAGACAGACAGACAGACAGACAGACAGACAGACAGACAACAGACAGACAGACAGACAGACAGACAGACAGACAGACAGACAGACAGACAGACAGACAGACAGACAGACAGACAGACAGACAGACAGACAGACAGACAGACAGACAGACAGACAGACAGACAGACAGACAGACAGACAGACAGACAGACAGACAGACAGACAGACAGACAGACAGACAGACAGACAGACAGACAGACAGACAGACAGACAGACAGACAGACAGACAGACAGACAGACAGACAGACAGACAGACAGACAGACAGACAGACAGACAGACAGACAGACAGACAGACAGACAGACAGACAGACAGACAGACAGACAGACAGACAGACAGACAGACAGACAGACAGACAGACAGACAGACAGACAGACAGACAGACAGACAGACAGACAGACGACAGACAGACAGACAGACAGACAGACAGACAGACAGACAGACAGACAGACAGACAGACAGACAGACAGACAGACAGACAGACAGACAGACAGACAGACAGACAGACAGACAGACAGACAGACAGACAGACAGACAGACAGACAGACAGACAGACAGACAGACAGACAGACAGACAGACAGACAGACAGACAGACAGACAGACAGACAGACAGACAGACAGACAGACAGACAGACAGACAGACAGACAGACAGACAGAGAGACAGACAGACAGACAGAGACAGACAGACAGACAGACAGACAGACAGACAGACAGACAGACAGACAGACAGACAGACAGACAGACAGACAGACAGACAGACAGACAGACAGACAGACAGACAGACAGACAGACAGACAGACAGACAGACAGACAGACAGACAGACAGACAGACAGACAGACAGACAGACAGACAGACAGACAGACAGACAGACAGACAGACAGACAGACAGACAGACAGACAGACGACAGACAGACAGACAGACAGACAGACAGACAGACAGACAGACAGACAGACAGACAGACAGACAGACAGACAGACAGACAGACAGACAGACAGACAGACAGACAGACAGACAAAAATTCTAAAAAACTATAGATTTGGCCTATGTATCGATAATAATGTCTATTTCAATAAGATTTTCAAAAAAAATATTCAATGTACAGATTCGGCTCAGATACAATTTTATTATATGTATAGATATGACATATTAAAAACTTACCTAAAACAGTCATGCTCCAAGAAACGAAGTATGAATTCACACCAATCCATACAATACACATGACGAAAGCGAAGGGATAGAACCTTTTGCATGTAATAGGAGAAGGCACAGTAAGAGTCAGGATAAGATTAAGAGGCCACGTGTAGAGCCACCAAATCTTGTACACAACTGACTTGTCTTTAGGGAATCGCCAAACACCGTTTTTCGGTTCATCATTGATTTCAACTATAAAACGAATATTTACTGATTAATTACGATTATTTATATATTTTTTAATTATTATGTACATCGTTTTAATCTAAGTATATATTCTCGCGTTGAAATAATAAATGTAAAATTTTACGTTAAACACAAACTATTTCAATAAACAAGTTGGTTGTGTGTTGCATATATTTTGGCGTTTAAATAATAAATGTAAAATTTTACGTTAAACATAAACTATTTCAATAAACAAGTTGGTTGTGTGTTGCATATATTTTCGCGTTTAAATAATAATTAATGTAAAATTTTACATTAAACACAAACTATTCCAATAAACAAGTTGATTATTTGTTGCTCATTTTTGTTCATTTACTGAGTCCGTAACATCAACTATTTATTACTGCTCCGCTCGTTTGACCACTTGAACCTTTAACCAGCAAGATAAAGTTCTACTGAAGTTGAATAGCAGTTCTACATCTATTTTAAGTCTTATTTATTTTTTCATGATAAAAATTAGTGTAGGCCACTTTCGTCAGTAATTATGATTCAGTAATTTTGGAGACTAGTGGGTAAAAACATACAGACAAAAATGTTCAACTGTGATCGATTAGCATACCAAAAGTTTGATGTAAAATGAGATGATATTAAATAAATCCTGCTATTACAATTTATATTGTAGTTAAGATAAAACGTGTTTTAACTGAAATATTTTTTCTAAAAAATTTCTCAAGCCTTTAACTTTATAAACAACCCAAGTTTTTATAATTATAGAAATGTGTACGTAGGAGCGGCGGTTCAGTGTAATTATTCTTTAGATGTACATATATCTACTACGCATTACTTTTACAGTATTTAAAGACTTATAACAGTTTAAAAATAATAAAAAATAACATTTAAAATTGGCTTAGAAGAAATTTTACAAAAATACAAAGTTATATTTATTGTATTTAAAGGATTACCTTTATCGTCAGCGCTAACTTTCCCGTTATTCGTTGAAATATTGTTTCCTTGTTCCTCATTGTTGTTGAACCCTTTGTTATCGAGGCCTTCTTCCATTGGTTTACCCTCTGCACTTACTATATCTATAAGAAAAATACATACATACATTGACGATACGTATGGCTCAGTTTATAATGACCCTTCTTGCTACGCCAACGGTCGCGGGTTCGAGTCCCGTTAGTGACATTCATTGAGCACGAATGGTTTTACTCCAGTCATGGGTGTTTATATTTATAATATGTATGTATTTAAAGTTATATACGTGTAGTGTATCTACTATCTGGTATCCATAACACAAGCTTCGTTCGTAGCTTACCATGGAACTAGATGGTGATGTGTGTTAATGTCCCAACTTATTTATTTATTATTATTATAAACATGTATACGTTGATTTACTTTCTAATATATGTTATGTAATTTTTTTTAAACACTAATATTTATTTGTATCAAAAATAAATGAAATAATCCTAATCAAATGAAAGTAATCATCATTTTGACCTTCCAATATAAATTATTTAAATCTATGTCTATATCATTTGAATTCCATAAACTTCATAGCATTTCTAGCGATTCTAACTTATAGTCTCGAAAGCAAAGTTAGCCAGAGATCGTGGTAAGCGCCACTTCAATATGAATTCAGTGAAACGTACTTGTTCATTTACTATATTATTCTGCTTTTGATCCCGCTTTCTGCTAACAACCAACTTATCTGTACTTGAATGTATTGAAATTATATATTTATGGAGATTAAATGTAACTCTTTGTACGATTTTACATGTTATAATAAATAGTTTCATGAAATTTATTTTCAATATATTTTTTTTTCAATTTCAATATAAATTAAAATCGATTATAATTTTAAATAAAAACAATGTATCAATAATATGAAAAAAGTTGTTTTGAATTATAAATCATTTCACGACTAGACTGTACATTGAAAGTTATAAATCTATTTTCGCTAATAGTATTGATTAAAAAAACATTCATGTACTTAATTTAATTTATTGTTTCATGTTAAAAGTTCTGTATAGATATTATTCAATATTCAGATTGTAAATGAGAAAGTTTATGAGTGAGAGTGTTTATAGTATGTCTAGAACGCACGGCTTTATTGTTTAGAGTGAAATTTAGAATGATAATAATTATAAAAGTTATATTAACATTGGTTATTATTATTTTGTAATTCCTATCACGTGAGTAAACCCGCGGTAAGAACTACTGATATGTAAACTTACAATCTGAGCGTCCCTTCTTACAGCAACAGCCGAAGATTTTGTTAAACAATGTGAATAGTTTCATACTATTGAACATTATGATGAAATAGCATATGTATAGGATGCCGAGAACTAATGCCTCGTACCATACTACCAATCCATCCCATACAATGGCTACTAAAACACCAACGTTGATCATATAAATGAGAACGTCTCTTGTAACTGGACCGCGCTCGATGGCAATTGGCTGAAAAAAAAATATCGTTGGTTTACCATATGAATATATTTTTTTGAAATGAAATTTTTATAAAATCCTTTTTACTGCGTACATATTCCAAATCATTTTTGATACTGTAAAATATTTGAATAAGTCGACAACTATACAGCAAGCGATGTGAATACGACTCTCACATCGTCCATTCATAAAGATTTTACTAATAAATCCACTATAGCCTCACCTATGGAATTCTAACATAGCTACGAACCAGCGTTCGTACAGAAAAAATATATTTTGCGAAATTCATGCTAAGGCGCTTAGAGAAAGATTAATTTTATTTTTGTATTGCGAAGGAAAATTGCGAGTGAATACATCAAGGCTACTTTATATCTAATTGTGACGTAAAATAAAAATGAAACGATAAATTTTCCATTTAACCATCTATCGATAAAAAACTTAAAGAAATCTTTTCATTTCTTACTATTACTGCAATTTTCTAAATTATTTAATTTCTTCAATCTCTCTAATGCTATAAATTATAAGTAGCGACGCAGCGGTAAATTTGTTCTGCAAGGTAAAATACGTAATAGGGATTAGTGTAGGCTATAAGGCAGATGCCTATTTCTTAGATTAAAGAATAGTCGACTTTTTATTCTATATTTTATTTTTTATCGTACATTTTCAATATAAATCTATTATTTTAACTTACCGAAACTGCCGCAAGACTTCCAATAGCTGCCACTCCCAAAACATTGAAAATAGCCGAACCGACTATCGTACCAATACCCATGTCTGATTGCGTGAGGAACGTTGATATTACATTCACAAAGAATTCTGGACAAGATGTCGCCACTGACATAAACGTTGCTGCCGCCACGTTCTGAACGGTACAAAAATTATTATGTTAACTCTCTATAATTACTACTATACTACTAGTACAGTAGTACATTCAACAGTAAATTATTATGTTATGTAGATAGAGATTACCCCCTGCAACGTCACAAGCTCACAATCTCACAAACTCCCTAACTTGATTTGATTTGATTGCATACAGACAAACAGATTGATTTGATTGGATTGTGAAATTTGAAGCCAGAAAATTGATAGCGGCACTCTTAATACTCTATACTAGGATTTAGGATTTTGATTTCTCTAAACTCTTTTCTGACATATCGTCGTGTGCTTTTTTTATAATGGCTTATAGTTGCGTTAACAGGCAATCCATTCTGCCAGTGTCACGTTTTGTGAGAAAGACACGAATGAGATTGAGCGGTAATTTTGAAATTTAGTAACTTTATTGTGGAATTAAAACTATAAATGAATGATCGGTCTACAAGAGTAATATCGTCGTGTGCTTACTTGTCCAAATGAACAATTTACCAAAAGAGATTTTAGTACAAAATTATAGATATGTGCTAATTCTATTGATATTAAATACATATTTTACTTTAATAAAGCCGAAAAAATGTAATTATGTATGTGCGAGTATATACTCGTAAATCTTAAAAACAATATCATATTTTTAACTACTTTCTCTACTGTAAATATTAGTCGCTTGAACAAATAAGCACTAAGACGACGAAATTCAAGTCATATTATTGTTTAGTTAAATATAAATAATATAACTCATAGTAATACATAAATAATATTTTCATGAAAAATATTATCTATCGTAAGGTACTTTATAGAATTTGCTTTAGACATGATAATTGTCAACAATCTAACTAAATTACTTTCATAAATATATAGAACTATAGCTATAAAATGAAGTATATACATATATGTAGTTTCCTTACTCCACATTCACTTCTATCACACATAAAAGGAATAGATAATTTTTTATTTATTATAATCAGAACGAAATAAAAAGGCTATATATATCGAATAACAACCTTAACATAGATAAACTATAAAAAATAACAAAAAAAAGACTAACAATGAACTGATTAAGTAACAATTTATTCCAGGCCATCATTCTGTCAATCTTTTTAAAACCTCTTTCAATAATATTCCGCTAACGACATCTAATTCATATTTAATTGGATTAAATAAAATTGGAGATTATTGTAAAAGCTATTATTTGATTCAATTTTATAACATTTGATATTTATAAAAGGGAATATGATAACTCGATTGCGACATGCATGTATAGAGCTTAGAAAAATATAAATGGAAAGTTGAAAATGTATCCAAACCTACTTGTGTCTATACGCGAGAAATCTTTATATCACATAAAGGATATATATGCCCTCACTTTTGATATACAAACCACTTACAAAATTTGTGACAATCCATACTAATATTATAAATGTCAAAGTGTGTTTGTTAGTTTGTTTGTCTTTCTTTCACGACAAAACGGAGTGACAGATTGGCGTTATTTTTTGTGTGTAGATAGATACTTGAAGGGTTGGAGATTGACATAGGCTACTTTTTAAGGCGGGAAATTATTTAATTTCCACGAGAAAACACGTTATAACACAATCCAAAAAAATATATATGATCAGAATACTCGAAACTCGGTATTAATGCTCTTTAATAAAATTGAATGAACACGTGTTTAAGCATTATTCGAAATTCATCCCTTAGATGGAAAAAATAGGTGATGAAAATTTGTATGAAACTACCTTTTAGAGGTTTTTTTGTAGTTTTAGCGCGAGCGAAGCCGCGGGTTCTGCTAGTAATTAATAATTTACAGAAGAAAATTTCTTTATAAACAGAACAAATAGTTAATTAGGCTCCGACAAAGTTTACTTTTTGTGGGTATGTTACCAATTACCATATTTGAATTTGGTCAAAAAGAAGCAAAAAAAAACATTTAGTAAGTAACAGTAAGTACAAACCTGTGATATCTTCAAGTCGTCGCAAATCATTTCAACACAAGGAATGAAATAGTCGTTGCATACTAACGCCAACAACGTGAAAGCATAAATGCCAAACAATACGTACAGAACAAATGCACCCTTCCTTAATTGATCATCTGAAAAATTATACCAATTCAATGTTTCGCTATGTTGCCTTTTACGAAATTCAATATTTTTTTGTATCGTGTCAGTTTTTTTTTGTTTTGTTTAGATTCCAGTAACTACTATTTGTCTTTTTAAGTTTCCATCTATATCTTTATGAAATATTATCTTTTTCAACCATTGAATAAGTAAATTAAATCTACGGAACAGACTTAATTCAGTTTTGATTGCGAACATAGAGCTTTGAAAAGCTTTTCAAGCGCTTATATGAAATTCTGACAGTTTGTAATTCAATATTCTAAGAAAGTATGTACCAAATTGTTCAATGTAAATAATAATAACTAATTATTAGTATATAGATTAAAAATATATTTTATAACTAAAAAATCATTTGTAAAAAAAAACAATTTTATTCTTGACAAAAATTTTCAAAGAAAGAAAACTTCGTTAGAACCACCATAATACCACAGGAAAAATATTGAGCCCAGACATAAAAGGATAATAATTTTATAATATAATAATAATAAGGATAATAATAATACACATGTCGCATAGTCCGAAAGTTTCTGCAAGACGATTCCCCTAATCAACAAACAATAACTAATGATGATTCTCACTTGGCGTAAGCCCGTGAGATTCATTACACCGAAATTATATATTTCGAGAAAAAGAAAAAGATATAATAATAATAATATAATAAGGATAATAATATAATAATTTTCAAAATATAAAGAAGAATATTACTAACCATCAAACAGCCCGGAGGGGAAGCTGTCGATAGAGTCACCTGTCGTTCTCTCTATTTCTAGTATTATGTTCCCAACAACCTCCGTCTTGGTCCTCAACCAGGGCCTCCAATGCCACGTCTCCGACTCTTCGGTGAGTCTCTTCATCAGTTCTTTTGTTATGTACACAGTTTCGCCATTATTATTTAATACTTCGAAAGATTCATCATCTGTCACATCTGTAAAATATTTTACTGCGCTATTTATTTATGTAAATAGAGATACACTATCCACTATAATAATATCTAAATTTAATTTAATGGCTGTAAAAGAAATTATATTCGTGATAATTAAAACTAGACTAGTTAGCTCAAAAGACTCTCAATGACTGTACTGTGAAGATAAAAGCGGACAGATTGTTGTAAAACACAAATATTAAGGTAATACTAGCAACAAAACACGATATCATGGCTATACAGTAAAATTGTGGCTTGCTAATCGATTTTGGAATCTCAGGGCATTTATCACTTTTATCCATGAATATTAAATGATAACGTCATGGTGTCAAACATGTCCCTCAGTCAACGCAAATATCTATTGCATAATAGATTAAAACCAAAGAATTTTTTTATTTTATCTTTTATTTTTCCCTTATTTGATGAACTAAACCCTTTTTATATTTTCACATTATGGATTGTTTTTAATTATCAATTTCAAAACTTTCCTTGCCCGCGCTCCGCCCGCGTTCAGATGACCAAAAACCAAATTATTAGATTTTACATATTAGTATACTCTTACAATGCAGTTTTTGTATTTTTTCTCGGATATGATATATTTTAAAAAGTATCCTATATGTTAACTCGGATAACCAGCTATCACCATATCAAATTTCATCAAAATCCCTCCAGTAATTTTTCCGTTATGCAGTAACAGACAGACAGACAGTCAAAAATTCTAAAAACTATAGATTCGGCCTCTGTATCGATAATAATGTCTATTTCAATAAGATTTTCCAAAAAATATTTAATTTACAGATTCGGCTTAGTTACAATCTATTCTTAACATAGAAACTATGATATTATATGCGAAAATGATGTTCTTAGTAAATAAAAATAATACAAAACGTGAAGAAGTATGAGTAATAAGTAATAAGCTACATTTAAAAGCAACCAAAAAAGCTTAAATTATTATATGTATACATACGTTTCATCAGTAATAAGCTTAAGTTATTTCTTAGTACTTATAGTAATTGCATCCCCTTTCATATGCGAGTACGTTTTATACAAATAATGTAAGGAGATATCTTGAGAAATTTCTCTTATTGCTAATGAAGTCAGTAATGTTCATAGCAGCGTATGATAAATAGAGCTTATTATTTCAATGTTGGAACGATGTCGATTGCGCACACGTGTAAGCACCGTTGAAGTAGTCAAGAGGAATCAAAGCTCCAACAAGATAGAATGTTACGTTTTTTTTTTTTTTTTTTTTTTTTTTTTTTTTTTTTTTTTTTTTTTTTTTTTTTTTTTTATTACAATTCTCCTCTGACACTGGTCAGAGACTTTGTTATTTCTAAGTTTCTTATACTATAGTACATATTTTTGTCGACATTTTTGGTATACATTTAGTTTATTACATAATTTTTGTATGCTTAATTATATGCTATTTTAATATTCTTAGAATTATTACATTTTATTTTTATAGGTAAGTACTATGAACAATTTTTATATTATACTATTTATTTATTATGACTATTATGTTTATGGCTATTGTTGTTATTATTATTTATACATGTTTCAAGTTTTATGACACTGTGGTCTCATACTCTTCTGTTCTCATTTGCAACATGAGGACGCTAGAAAAGTCTAGCGATTATGATGCGGGATTCAAAAAGGTAAAAGGCACTTTTTTTTTTTTTTTTTTATATTGTGCTGTGCCTTTTGTTTACAATTTTTGTTATGTATGTGCAGAAGGCTATGAATATCTTGTGGTGTTCTTTGTGCATGAGTAAAAGGTGTAAGTTTTCTATTTTTGTAGCAATACTTGTCTGGTTTTCCAGGTCACAGCGTGCCATACTGAATCTTGGGCATTGTGTAATAAGATGGATTATGGTTTCTTCAACACCAGGGTCGCATTGACATCCTGGGTTGGCAATGCATTTGAACCTTGCCAAGTATTCAGCATAGCCGCCGTGACCCGTTAGTGCTTGGGTTATTAATGGGTTAAGTGTCACTTTCTTTGTAAATTTGTGTGCCATTTGTATATTAGGTAGAAAAATTTTGGTTATTTTGCCTTTGTCACTGCTCTTGTACATTTCGTCCCATTTGGTTACTGTCTCTGAGCGGATTACTAATTTTAGGGAGGAAATAGGGAAGGAATCGTATATTGGTGCTATCTTTTTATTTTGGGCTGCTGTTTTAGCTAATTCATCGGCTTTTTCGTTCCCTACTATTCCCACGTGTGCTCTTACCCAGAAAAATCTGATTTTCTTGTCAGTCTTAGTTAAGTCGTGTGTGTTCTTTTTTATGGGGAGCGCTAGTGGGTGGGTTGTATCGTGTCTGGTTAGAAGGTCGAGTGATGACCTTGAGTCGCTTAAGATGTCTATTTTCTTTTCCCGAGACCTCATTGCAATCTCAGTGGCTTGGTGGAGCGCGTACATTTCGGCCTGAAACACTGAGCAGAAAGGCGCTAAGGTAAATTTTCTGCTCAATGTTTCCTGCCCGTCCTTCCAACAGGACAATGCCGCGCCCACCCCGTCACTGATCTTGCTTCCGTCCGTGAAGATGCACAGGCCATTGATACTGTGCTTCTCCACGGTTTCCGGGTTGAGATCTTCGAGTCGGGTGTACGTAATCGACGCTTCTAACGCGGGGTGTGGTAGTTTGTGATAGGGAATCTTTGTTTCCACTTCTCTACCCTTTAACAGGGCCAGTGGTTTACCCCTTTTTGCTTCGTAGAGCCTGGCAGCTTCTTCTGCTCTTAGCTCGAGTGGCAGAAGGCCTGCAAGTGCCAGGGCTGCCTCAAAAGAGACGGTCCTGTATGACTTGCAGATCTTCTGCGCGAATCCTCTCTGCAAATTATGGAGCTCTTTTCTATTTTTCCACTTCCCAGCATCCTTAGCCCAGACACTGCTGGCATACAGTATTATTGGCTCGGCTACCGCCGTGTAGATAGTCCTGACGATCTCGGAATTTAAACCCCATGTTAATTTTGCTGCTCTTGCCAATGGTTTGTAGATGTTTGCAACTTTCCTAATTGTATTTCTGATATGTTCATTAAATGTCAATTTGTTGTCTATTGTTACTCCTAAAATTTTTATTTTTTCCACTAATTCAATTGGTTTCCCGCCCATGTGTATAATTGGAGTGTCGAATTTTAGTTTTCTTGTTATGATCATCGCTTGTGTTTTGTGCGGTGCAAATTTAAGTTTATTTTTGACACCCCATTCATACACATGGTCGAGAACCTCTCTTGCTTTCTGTTCTATTGTATTGGGTTTTTTATCCGAGATCATCACGACTATATCATCCGCGAAAGCCTGGACGTGTACACCGAATTTTTCCACTTCGGTTAGGAGTGGGTCTAATAGGATGTTCCAAAAGGTGGGGCCCGCTATTGATCCCTGTACACACCCTTTTGTTGTTTGTTTTAGATGCTTTTCGCCGGCGTATCGCACTTCCACTGTGCGGTCAGTGAGGTAACTACTTACTAGTTTCAGCAAGTTTGGGGGACATTTTTTCTTGATCAAGCCGCTTTTGATGGATGGCCACCATGCACTATCAAAAGCTCCCTCTATATCAAGGGATATGACTGCAACGATCTTTTTGTCTATTATATCCGCTCGGATATGATTTACCATATCATAGAGGGAGTCTTCTGTGCTTCTCTGTGGCATAAATCCGTATTGGCGGGTGTTGAGCGTAGGTAGCATATGCCATCTAATTCTGCGAACCATCGCTTTTTCCAGCATTTTGCCAAGCAGCGGTAGTAATCCTATTGGTCGAAATGCCTTAGGATTGGTGTAATCACCTTTCCCGGGCTTCCGTAGGATCACTACCGTCGCCTTTTTCCAATCTGCTGGAAAGTGCGATAGTTCTAAGCATTTATTTGCTATTCCCAGAAATATTTCTGGGTCTGCTTCGTAAGCTTTTTGGCAGATGTCCGCTGTTAAGCCGTCCCCTCCAGGAGCCTTTTTTGGGTTGAAGCTGTTCACGACACTTCTTATTTCACTTGATGTGAAGAGTGGATCGTCTTCAGCACCTGTTTCGATACCGGTAGCAAAGGCTCTAGTTTGCCTTTGTGGCGGGGTGTCGTCCTCGGGGTTGTCTAGTGGGAAAAAGGTTTCGGCCAGAAGCCCGACGGATTCTGCGGGAGACAGCATCGCGTCATTTTTCATGAGCATCTGGTCTTCATGGTTCACCGTCGTCCTTCTCAGGACACGGTATATACCATCCCAGATGCTCTCGCGATCCTGTTTTCCGCAGAACTCCTTCCAGCTTCTGACCCTTTCCTTTTCCGCTGTAGCCTCATATTTGAGTTAGAATGTTACGTTGCCTACTTCACACTGACTGTCAAAATACTAACGTACGTTTTAATATTGTTTATTATTTGAAATTTGGCAAGAAATGCGTTGCATTATGTAGCTGGAAAAAGCAACTATTATTCTAGAGCTCCGACACTTGCAGATGAAGAAATTTTTTAAGTATTATATGTATTTCAGTGGTCATCGTAAATACAGATATAATCTATACTAAATATCTTCTACACATATAATAAAATTGAACTAAACCGAATCTGTACATTAATTTTTTTTTTGGAAAATCTTATTGAAATAAACATTATTAACGATACAGCGTCCGAAGCTATAGTTTTTAGAATTTTTGTCTGTCTGTCTATTACCGAATCACAGAAAAACCACTGGAGGGATTTTGATGAAATTTGGTATAGTAGGTTTGGTATGGTGGTTGGTTTGCTATGGATAGCTGATTATACGGGTCAACATATATGATACTTTTTACCGTAAGAGTATAGTAATATGAAAACCCTAAGAATTTGGCTGTTGGTCATCTGAGCGCAGGCGGAGCCGCGAGCAATGCTAGTTTTATTATATGTACTATCTATATAGTAGCCTACGTATTACTCCATATCATAGTCTCCCTATGTATTAAGTTACATTCAAATCCGTCCAGACGTTTCGTCATGAAGGAGTGACAACAGACACACACAAACAATTTGCCGCAATTATAATAATAGTGTGCAATCCTTATTCTAATAAGATATATAAAAATTATATATGTAGTTAGCATAAAAAAGACAGTAATTGAACTTTTTATACTCACTGAAGTCCTCGAGAGCCGCGACCCGCGAAATGGATATTAATGTTAAAGCGACGACCGCTATTAATTTGTTCCGAAACATATTCAAAATCATCTTCTTCTAATGCTTAAAGAATGATGTTACTATTGTACGTACCTGTTGATTGTCAATGAATTTTAGATTATATTAGACGGAAATCGTTTCATCGATAGCATTATATTGATATTTGGTGGTGACTGGGTATTTTTTGTTTTATGTCATATTATTTCTTAAAAAATCTGAAGTTAGATCGTTCTTTTCCTACCTTTTAAAATAACTATATTAATAATCTATCATTATAATCTATCTTTTATAATAACTATACATAGCAAGGTGATATATGTATATGATAACATACGTGATATGTGTAATAGGATAACATACACTGCACTATTTATTGTACTATCGGACGACATCGTATAGCAGCTAAAGGTAAACAAGTAAGTGAAAATTAAAACAAATGTAATTAGAAATTGCAACTTTAGCCATATTTTATAAGGCATATGTTCATTTATTGTAATGTTTACCAAACATTCATTAAACGGATCGGTGAAGATATATTTATATAAGTATCATATCTTAAAGATATTACAAATTATTAATTATAAAATGCTGTATTTATTTCGAAACTCAAATATCAATACATCACATTCGTAAGTATATATTTACTGATTTAGTACAGTCATATACCTATTATAGTATTCAACCCTTTTTAACGTCCCACTGCTGGGCACGGGTCTCCTTTCAATAGAAGGGGAATCAGGCCATAGTCCGCCACGCTGGCCAAGTGCGGGTTGGCGGACTTCACATGTTTTTCGAAAACTTGCTAGGTTCTCTCAGACATGCAGATTTCCTCACAATGTTATCCTTCACCGTAAAACAAGTGGTAATCATGTTAGAAATGATTCGCACATGAAAATATCAGAGATGCGAGACCCGGGATTTGAACCCGCTTCACTTGGTTTCCCAAGCGAGCGAGTTACCATGGGGCTACTGCCATTACATATACTCGTACCTACCAATTATATATTATCAAAAAAATAAGCATGCATCAACTAAACTAAACTAAAAATAGGTACCTAATACACGTGCACAAGAGAAAATTTAATAACATGTAATATGCATTTTCATTACAAATGCTTTGAGGAAAACTACTAACAGAATTTCATATTAGCAAAGTTATATAAATGAGTTTCCTGCATCTCATCATATTAATAAAAGTTTAATATTCAAATATACGTGTGTCCTGTAATGAAAAATACTTTTAGAACATTTGTTTGAATTTCAACGTTTTACTTTTACAAGCAGTTTGTTAGCAACATAGTTTACAATACTATATATTTGTATATATATAATACGTATGCTAAATTATATTTATCTTATAGCTCCGCTTTATCTCCGATTTTCCAAGACTAGACTAGCACTAATCTTGTCTTCGCATAAACCTAATCAGCTAAATAAAATTGAAATGCTCGTTTGTAATGTTAAAATAACAGCTTTCTACTAAATGCATGTGAAAATATTTACGATACTTATACTAAAAACCCGATTTTTAATTTTTTGTCTGTCTGTTTGTTCCGGCTAATCTCCGATGCGACTGAACTGATTTTGACGGTACTTTCCCTGACAGATAGCTGATGTTACAAGAAGGAACTTAAGCTACTTTTATTCTGGACAAAGAATTAGTTTCGCTCTAAAAAATTAAAACGTAGCTAGAGACACAACCGATACTAATAGTAACATTTCGCAATATTTTATGTTATGATAAAATTGAATTCAGGCTGTTGCTATTCGTCCGTTAATCAGATGATTAAGAAATACTCGTAATAAGTATTCTTCCCACTATTGACAATTTGTGCAAATAATACAAAAAATATTGTTTTCTAATGTAAAATTAGTAATTTTTATGTGCAAAAGTTTCTATATCAAAAAAACCTTAACCTAAAACATGTTCTTTTGAATACCAACGATTTTTTAGTTCAAGAGTTTTTATATGTAAACAAAAGAAAAGCGTCTTAACCTACGCAGCAGAGCCGTGCAGTAATTCTCTCAATATGATACAAGTTTTTGAATTGCCTCTAGGTAATTTTCATAAAGGTTCCGCAGGTAAAAATCAAAAATGGAGACCGTATTATTTCATCATGTCCGTATGTCTGTTATTTTAGTACTATGTAATGGCTCTAAATGCTGTCCCATACTTTGTGCTGTCTGATGCAGTCGCATTTTTGCCTCATATCACCGCACGGCCCTGCTCCGTATCTAAAAATGGAGTTTATTGGAGAATACTACTGCGTCATAAATACAGAAAAATTTTAATCTGTCGGCTGAAAATATTTATATTTTTAATTTAAGTCCATTCGATCTTATTCGAAACTTAAAATTTTAACTATCGATATTCTTAAAAATCTACAAAACTTGATAGTTTAGAATTGTTTTTTTATAGAAACATGTTATATAGTCGCAGTCATAATATATCACACAACAATAATCGGACGAGACCTCCTTGAATTCATAAGCCTTATAAAAAAATATCTATATTCATTTCAATCAAGTTAAAATATTTTTAATTCGTTTAAAATAAATCATTTACATAATGTTCAAGTGACTCAGACTTCAAACGTAATTAATTTCTGTCATTGCGGAAGAAAATTAAATAGGATTTATCGTTCGTCCATTTAAATATGTCGCAAAAACATACATGCTAGATATATGATAGAATAATAAAATAAAATATTTTATTTCTTAATTTTTTTATTTTTATTTTTTAATTATTTTTTTTTTATTTATTGATATAGAATAATAGTAAATTATAACGTATTCAAATAATATAAAACAGACATAGTATCTGCTGGTATGACTTTGGTTCATGCATTAAAGTGCTGGACTCTACAAAAAATATATATGCATTTCATTCCAACAAATTTTCCAAGAATTAAATATAACAAGCGTACACAATATAGATATTGATAACAGTTTATATTTAACAACACAACAACACTTAACGACTTTTAAAAAGAGCCTTATGAATTATTATGATATCTATTGTCTGGCAAACTGAAATATACATTTTTGTTCAACTTGAATTTTCATAAATGCTTATCAAATTAAAAAAATATATAATATATTCCTATATATAATTATATATATCATTATATAAATCTATTTGATTTTTTTTTTCTGTAGACACCTTTAATATTAAATTAAAATAATATGTTATTTCATTTTATTAATTGACTTTTTATATATGTAATTCACTATTGTGGTATAGGCACGTGTAGGGTAGTGTGGGGTAGGTTCATCGTTTAAGCTTAGAACACGCGACTATATCGAGCAATGATTTTTAGCCTTATTTTGCAATCAAAATAAATAAATAGCAATTTATTCATTAAAATAATTAATATTTATCTAAATAGTACTTTTAGGTTTTAAATAAATCTTTATTTTCGGACTTTTTCAACAACATTTTTTTTAAAAACAAATATGTTGTTTTTGTGGGTGGGCCGTCTGTGGCAACTATATAATGGTTTTGAGACATCTTAATCCTTGGTTTCTCCCGTAAACATGATTGCTGTAAAACATTCGAAACGTCGGCAACCAAAAATCAAAATAAATCCGCCAGAGAATCTAAAAAGATATTTTTATTTAAAATGTCAAATATTCGGGTAAATCTAAGAAAGTATTATGAGTACTTTTTTTCTTTAAAATTTCTGTCACTGAGAAAGAGGAAAATTAAATAGGAATTATCATGTGTATAATCTAAAATGTCGCAAAAACATTCATATGCAATTTAAAACAATAGACATTTACAACGTAATTAAAAAATACAGACATGATATACTTCAACTGACTCAAAGAAAAATATTAAAAGAATAACAATTTACCTTCGCCAATTAGCATAGCCTTGAAAAATCACATAACTTCCTCATGGAGATCATTAAACAAGAAAATTTCTTTAAAAAACGGTAGGTAGTTTACGATTTAGCATAAAATATACAATCGATACGTAACGCAATCACAATATACGCAGAAGCGAAATAATATCGATAACCTATCTCCTCGTAAAATTACTGGAGAAAGTTCCAGAATTGAACATTAATTAATACCCATAACGACGTTCTACATGCGCCACAACACTGAATACTTACTATGAGTTTCGAGAGGCGAACACACTATAGTCTTTTAAGTATTATTTACAAAACATTTTCGACAATATAAAGATACGTTCTGGTTGCTTAGCACTGCAAGGATTTCATTCTCAACACTGAAACAAAGATATGAATGCCAGGGGTTTTTAAACAGATAATCTTAATTGATAAGACGTTGTCAACGATTACTTGCTTTAATTAAATACTATATTTATATATATATATATATATATATATATATATATATATATATATATAATATTGCGGTTAGGATGCTTTATTGATTAGGCAGTCCTATAATTAAATATTTTCTCATACTATTTCCTCACAGATCGCGTGGCTGGAAACTGTAAATCTTTCAACATAATAAAAAAATTAACTGTGAATATATTTGAATAAACCTAAATAATAAGTCTGTAAAAAAATACTTGACACATTTTCCACTTTAATCGGTAGGAGGTGACTTTCCGTTTCTTTCTAGTTTCAACTTTCTTTTGTGGAACATGATTTTTCTTCGCCATTCTTAACCGTACTAATAAAAGTAATAATTGCCTAGTTCCGAGTTGACAAAAAGGGTGTGGCAAATTTTATTATATTTTATTATATAATAATTACAATATTAATGGGTACAGACCGCAGCTCGCAGGCCATTAATATCTGGTCATCTCACGTATGCGAGTATATTAATCAAACATGTACAAAGTATGAAAATAACAAATAACAAAATATGAAAACAGTACCTGTATTAAAATTTAAAGTTAATTATACATTTTGATGGATGGGATTATGATAAGAATACGTGTGCTGTAAACACAAATAATACATTAATTTATTTCTACAATAATAAATTTTTGTTAAGTTGAATAGTCAATAATTAGCTCTATAATGATAATAGTAAGCAAAACAGATATAAGTATTTGCAATGCATTT